TACCTCCTGAAAATGGCATTTTGGTTAATCCCATTTTACGAGAAAATGGAATATTAATTTTGAAATGTTACCAGACCCACAAGGTGCAACACTGAAAGCAACCATTTTTAACCAATCAAATGCTACATCAGAAAAGGCTGTCTAGCCATACCCTAATCATCACGATTTAATTGCGGAGGTATCCTCGGACTCCGGTAAGTGGCTAAAATGCAACCAATTAGGAAGTGTTTCAAAAGGTTGAAGTACGAATTTTTATTATAATTTTCCCCCAATATGTTGTCTCACTCTGTATACATATTGTAGTTTGTTCTATATTGTGCTTTCGAGTGAAATTTCGTGTTGTGGCGTGGTTTCTCGTTGGAATTTAAATCGATTTGAATGGCTACCTCAGATGAGCTCAAAATTATTAGCCAATCAAAACCTTCTCAATGAAATTCAACCAATCAGATCGATTGTGGATCGGTTTGGTCGGCGCGATTCGATTCCCTCCCAAATTTGTATCAAATCGACAATATTCCATTGTGCCACACTGCGCCAGTTCGTATTCAGTTCTCTGTATCCGGCTAAAAGTTGGGCTACCCGGAACTATTTACTGGTACTGATATTAATAATAATACACTAAATCTCCAGAACTCGGTATTTGCTGTCAGTTTTTACTGTTAGTTAATTCGCGTAATACTGTACCAGTAATTCACAGTCACTTGAAAACCCGCAAGAATACAGTAGTGTAATCGTCCTATGATTTGTCTATGAGTATTTGGGTTACTCGGCTCAACTCCTACTAGTACGTAGTACAAAGAAGGGGGAGCGCATCGAGCAGAGGTATTCACGGGCAATGCCAATTGAATGGCCGGCTTGTGCGTGGGATATGTCCGCTGGATGCAGCATCATGTTCCTTCTTGCTACCGCTGGTAGTGAGTGGGCCATTTACTCAACCACCGGTCGTGCGTCGTCGGCGGCTTCGGCGGCCGCCCGCAGCGCCACGTCCATGTGGCCCCAGATCTCCTCAACGTGTTCGAGACCGATGGAAATGCGAATCAAGTTGCGGTCCACACCGCACGATTCGACGTAATCCAGCTCATCGTAATGCGCCAGCAGCGTATACGGGCACGACAAGGTAAAGTTGGTACCGAGACTCGGTCCCTTTGCAAACCCGAGCGCATTGTAAAATGCTTTCGCGGTGGACTCGCCGCCATGGAGCACCACCGACATGAGCGGGCCAAACGCGTCCGTCGTGGCGTCGTGGTGTGTCAAGTTGGCGCTATACTGGGCCGTGTCAATCATCTTGGGGTAGTACACCGTCTGCACTTGGGGGTGGGCGGCAAAGCGACTCGCAATCACCGACGCCGACGCGTTCACTCGTTCAATGCGGTCTCGGACGTCCTACCCATTCATTCACAATGTTGGTTAGCACGTACATCATACCTAATGAATTGTCCATTCGATTCCAATCGAAAGAGCAGACCCAAATGGACACACAATTGACCAACCAATCAAAATCCAGAACACTATTCCAGTGGCCAATCAAACGCCTGCAACCAGTTTGACTTCAAATCGTGTGAAGAGTGTACATTTAAATTCAGAACAAAAAACTCGGAATTGGCGAAAATCCAACGTTATGATTGGCTGAAAGGACAATACCTAGAAATCATAGAAAATGCAAGACAAGGGTGGTATGTGTACCGTGGACGCATCGAGGATTTCGACACAATCGTCTTCAAAGATAAAGCTGTCGGCCGCGTACTCTGCGAGCAGAGATGTGTGCCAGTGACTCGCAGGGTTGACCACCAGCGACCCGCCCATGGCAGTGCCCGCCCCAGTAAAGATCTTGGTCAAGCTGGTAGCCACCAAATCGACGCCTGCTTCCAAGACCTGCATGTACGGTTATGACGTGGCAACACGTCAGGAAAGATACCATACCTGAACGTTATACGAGCCAATGGTATCGTCCACGACAAGGACGGTGTTGTGTCGGTGTGCAATGTCTGCCAGGCGCTTCAAGTCTGCGCTGTGGAGCAACGGATTGGTAGGAAATTCCGTGAAAATCGCAGCAATCGAGTCCAATTTTTCGAGTTCTTGCAAATCTACACCAACGGTACAGTGCCGTATGCAAAGGCAATGTCGTACGTACCGGCGTCGCTGCCGTTGGGGTAAAATAGCACGTCCCCCGAGCTCCACTCTGTCCGCCGCATCATTTTTAATGTGTCGAGGTATGGAAACCCAAACAGCACAACTTGGGCCTGACTGGTCTTGAGCTTTTGCACCACACGGAACGCGGCGAAGATGGCCGCCATGCCGCACGGGTACAAGAACACGTCGCGCGGTGTGACGAGGGGGTATAAGGATGCGACACGGTCTCTTAGTGCCGCGTGCGCGGCCGTCCCGTCCATGGCTTTGGCTGCTCGTCCAGGACTGGTTTGGTCCTTGAACTGAAGGATATGCAGCGCCATGCGGGACGATAGGATTTCTCCGCTGTGTTGCCAGAACGATTTGAAGTATCGGACGGCTTCGACGGGCACGACAATCGCAAACGCGCCGGAGATGTGGAGATCGATCAGCGGGATCGGACCGGGAAACGTGGCCAGAAGGAACGCTTCACATCGCTTGGCCACAGCATGTGTGGGTAGCACGTACGCGAGCTTGCTCGGGTCTTTGACGTACTTCTCCCAGCACCACTCATTCACGGCCTTCACGTAGGCATGGTACACGAACCGAGGGTACCCCGACCGCAACGACGCATGTAGCTCCGGACAACCTTGTTCATACAGCTCGACGTGCCGCCATTCTGGCATGGACACGGACACGGCATGTACATCGTCCGGCAAAGCGTCACCCAGAGGCACGCTTAGGCACTGTTGCACCATGACAGCCATCGACGTGCTTTCGCCTTGGTCTTTCGAATGTGAACTGCACCACAACAACTATCGAGGGTTTTATTGGTTCAATGCTGGTCAGTACATTCCAGTCGTACATCGTACGTTCATTAACACCTTCGTACAATATGATACTTTAAATAAGTAGTGACGCAAAATCGTACGATACGTTTCATACATTTCTCTACATTGCACCTAATACAAACTTCAAGAAAACGTTATCCGAAAAGTAGTGTACGAAACCACCTGGTCGAAAAGTCAACCTCAACATGTCGGGCAACACGGCGTCCCTTAACGTAATTACGCTGGATTTGCCTTGCGTAACCTCGTTTATGCCATGATTACTTCCTCCATCGCTGCGTATTCCAAGGCATTTTGCAACGCTTGCCGTAAGTTCTTGTGGTCTTAGTTAACGTTACTCTTGGCAATCCAAGAACATACGGAAAGTTACTGGTACAGTAACCTCTCATATTTACAGTTAATTCAGATCCGTAACATGTCTCGTGTTTGGATAAAATGTGTCATTTACCGGATGTAACTGCCACTCTAAGTTAAGCGTTCGATAGGCTGTGCGATTTGTGTCATGGATGCAAGCACACGGGTCATGGTGGCCAGTGCGGCACTGCAGTCGCGGATGACGATTCCTCCTGCCTACCATGAAGATAGCTTACACCACTATAAGCTGGTGGACTCGAGCGCCATCTCAAAGCAGGTACTACTGCAACCAACTTGCGGAAACCCTATCAACGAGCTCAATTGTCGACGTTGTAGCGCGCTGATCGGGACAAGATCATCCAGGAAATCGAAGCGAAACGGGCGTCGAAGCGAGCCGCATCTAAAATGGTGCATCCTTTCGAATCGGCACTTAGTGTCCATGTACGTCGGTTGCCTGTAGAGCTCAAAATGCACTCGTTACCGTCATACACAGGGCAACAAACCTCGGGTCAAGTCATCTGGACCGAGCCAATCCGTTCAAAAATCCCAGCCCGCATTACGTCGAGGAAACAACCACGACGACGACCATCGCGTCGAGTCGTCGTCCACCCACCAGCGACGGCCTGTGGTCAAAACGCCTGGCGAGAGATCGTACATCCAACAGCTTGAGAACGAAATCGCTCGACTCAAACACATTTCCCCGCCTACAAGTCAACAAAGTGTAGACGAGCAAGTCCTACAACGTTTAGCCGAGTTCAAAGTGGTGGGTTCACAAGGCGGCCAGATGACTCGCAGAATTGACATAGAGTATAGGCGCAACAACGAGATCTGGCAGCCGTGGAACAGCTCGTCAAAGCTAAAAAGGACGCCGAGGCTCAGGTCTATCAAATGAAGCAACAGCTGCATTCTTCACCTCATGGGCCAAATCACCACAACATTGAGAAAGCAGCATCACGAAGTCATTCCAAGCAGCACGACCAACGTTCCAATCACGTGGCACAACTTCAGCATCAACACCATAGGCAACCACCAAACCCATCTCGTGGTCAGGAAGAGCCAAAAGCCAATCCAATGAAAACGCCGGCTGTGGTCCGGCCTGCGACTCTCAGCAGCAGCTGGGTGCCGACTGATCGCATTATCGTCGCTGCCGACAACGATGAGGACCTTGCATTTGACTATACGGACGGCGACGAAGGCGCCGCCCCAGCGTTTGACATGGGCCCTCGCACGGCTAGTTCACTGGGCGAACCTCCTGGGTTTGACGACTTTGGAGACTCTCCACTGAAAGCTCCAGCCAAATCGATACACGACACCATTTCAAAGCCACTCCCAACATCGTGGGCCACTCGTGCGACCAGTACAGTTGTCAAAATGAAAGAACGGGCCTAGCCACACTACTCGGCTAACTACTTTGTAGTTACTGAGAAGTCCACACCAACTGCGACGTCGGCGGCGGCCCGCGACAGTCCCTTGGTCGAGACCCGAAAGGGTGGATACTTTGAAGAGTACGTTTTACCGTGTTGATGCTGTCAACAAAAATCCACATGCTTGAAAACAATTTACCGGTATGCCCCTCGCTGAAGCACGGCGTAGAAAGGAACGGATGAAACAAAATCAGCTAGAGTTGGAGCAAATGGCCAAAGAAAAGCTGGCACGAGCGCACCGTGCCAAGCCCCCTATGGGTAAGTAGACCCTCTTTCCCTCAAAGCCCCCTACTGACCCCCCCTCAAGCCCCTTTCTTACCCAGCTTAAGCCCCCCATTTACAGTATCCCCCTGTCTGTGAAATCTGATTGCATTGAACGTTGTACTTGTAGGTCTCCTGACCAACGAAACCAAGCTGCGGGAGCGAAAACAAAAACGAGTCGAGAACATTTTGCTCGAAGAAGACGAGAAGCTCACGCCATTCAAAGCGCGCGACGCGCCGCCCGTGATGGACGCCGACGTCGAGTTAGTGGAACATTTGCGCAAGGAACGAGTAGCCGCTCGAGCTGCCGAGCTGTTGGCCGCCAGCAAACTGCCCAGTCGGTTGGCGGATGCGGCGGCGAAAGCCAAACCCAAGTCCCCGACCCAGCCCCGGCGCGTGCGCATCAAGGCGGCACCTGTGCCGGACTTTGTGATGATGCAAACCGAGTGGAAAGCAGCGCTGCAGCGGGCTAAACTGAGCAAAGCCAGCACGCGGGTGGACGCATTTTCCGTCACTGATCCCGACAAGTTGGCTGCGTTGCAAAAGAAAAAGCAAGAGCGCCTCGAGCGACAGAAGTTAAAAGAGGATGCTGAGGTAATTTGGCAGTTTCGAATGCATCTGATGGATTTGGGGCGAGGTGTAGCGAGCGGCTGCCGAGGCCAAACGAAAGCACGCGTATGACAAGGCCATGGAAAGTGCCAAAGGACAGGTCCAAGTGGTGGAAACCGAAGCGCAAAAACTGCGCACAAAAGCCGTCCAAGCTAAACTGAAGCAGCGCCAGATCAAAGAAAAGGCCGAGGTGGTTCACTCACGCCTAGAGAAGGGAGGGTTATTCATCGCTTTAGTGATCTAGGAAAAAGCGCAACTCCAACGAAATGCAAAGATCAAACAGTTGTCCAAACAAGTCAAGGCGGAGGTGACGCATTTGGAAATGCAGCGCCGCCAAGAAAAGGGCAATTTCGTGGTAACGTTACTCTCCCAAATTCAACACACGTGAAATCATGCAACCATCTGTTTGAAAGGACCCGGACGAAGCCGCCAAAGCCAAAGCTGAGGAAAACAAGCGATCGTTTCAAGAAGCCATCCAGCGCAACAAGGAGCGCATCTTGGGGGCGGTGGCGGCCCGACCGACGCTCATGGAACGCTTTGCCATTGACAAGAAGAAGGAGGAGGGCAAGGTACGATGGATATGATCATACAAGCCACTCATATGTGTTCCTTGGCATGATACAGCGACAAGCGTTGGCGGCGGTGGTGTCGAATGTGTTTGGCAAGAATCTTGCAGCGTTCAAAGGGGTTCTGACAGAGGGCGAAGAGGATTTGGTCGATGCGATGAATGTCAAGAGTGCCGCAGATGATGATGACTATGCTGACGACACGGAAACTTAAAACGATGTTGTAATCAAGAGGACTTTGCTTTCTCAAGTAGGTTCCATATCCGCTAGTTCAACTGCATAGTTCGTGTACATTGGGCCAGTTGAGCGACTTGAGTATGCCGCCCCGACTACGTGACATACATTCAATGGCGTCTGTTGAAGATCCAACCAACCTGTCAAAGTTGATACTCGGAGAACAGTGTTTCGGATAAGTACGATACGCCTTGTAAGATACGACTGCATCAAAACTGGCAAGTTGCAACGATGGCGACCGCTGTACTTGGATTATGCCTCGTTCACGCGGCTGTGGCTGCCCGTAGCGATGAAGCGCCGCCACTGTACCTGCGCACAACTGTAGACATTGTGTTGGTTGTGGCGGGTATGGCATTTGCGATGGTTGGTACTGGCATTTTCGTCGCATACGTGAGCATCACATCCAGTCGACGAACGAAAGCGTTGACGACAGCAGCGTCTACGCAATCGACACACGGGGACTCTGGGGCACATGCTAACGACATGCCGCTCCTATCGGACCTTGATTTGTATCACGTCGACCCACGGAATGACGTCGCGCCGTTGTATCCACATCAGTTGTTGCGCCGTGAAACTCCATTGCTGGAACGGTGCGGCTCGTCCACCGTAAGCGACTACCAAATGGCCAACGAGACAGAGCTGAAGCCGCTAACATTCGAAGTCGAGACCCAGCGATTCAACGTTCAGATGCGATCGGCGCACCCCATCCAAACCGCCGACAGGAGGTTCAACATCAAATTAAAAGACTAGTGGGCTTTAGCGTGTTGGCCACAGTCGTACCACATAACGTCAACATATATTTTCACGTGGAATGGATGGAAGTGAACCAGTATGCCACGTTATGCCTGCGTAAAGGGGCCAGAGTGATTCGAAGTGTCAAGCCGCTTGACACATTTGGACAATCGCTTAAGTCACACGCTTGACTCAAGCATGTGGCCGTAGCGATTGTCCACTTCTCACGACTAGAGTAAACTAGCTAACGTTATACTAGTACATCGAAGTAAATATGCTCCCGCAGGGGTTGTGTCTACGCACTCAACGTGCCAAGTACACACTACATTTCGCACAATTGCTACGCCTCAACAACGTGAGGGCTGTACTCCATGTCAACTCGAAATATAATATTGTACCTCCACAAATGTGGCTGAACTATCTTTAGCTCGTTGCCCTAAGAATAGAGTGTCGAGTTTATTGACAAGCCAGCCCTTGCTTGACATTGGTTGTGATGTCGCAGCCTGGCAAAGTTGTGATCAACACGGCGGCCACTCGAGCCGCTGACGCCAACGGTATCATATTAGGGTCGTGGCGGTCTGGTCTGTTCTCATGCTTCGACTCGGTCGTTCCCAACTGTGTCATGACGTGCTGCTGCCCGTGCGTTTCGCTGGCTCAAGCCAGTCACCGCGTGGGGATCGTCCGATTCCGCACCATGCTATGCGTCACGGGGGTCCTCATGCTTGGCCAGTACTTGTCCACGTTTCTCAACTGGTATTGCCCCTACACACTGTCACAGTCGATGCAGGACCTGTCGGTCGAAGCCATGTCGCCCCCTGAAGGCATGACACTTGCGCAGACCGTGAATTGGTCTTCGGACGTCCTGCGTCGCGCGATTGATTTGGCCGACCAATATGACATGGCACGTCTGGCCACGGCGACCGTGTCATCGTTGGCGTCGATTGTCATCATTGTCCTCGTGTGGGTTGTACGAGCCCGCGTGCGGCGCAAGTTCAGCATCCCTGGAAGCTGCTGCATCGACTGCATGACCAGTTGGTGCTGCACGTGCTGCGCCATCGCTCAGATCGCGACACACACCACTTCGTATGTGGAAGGAGACTGCCAATTTGGCCCCCGGGGCGTGTTGCCAGCCTATTCTCCCACCAAGCAACCCTAATAATGCATACTGCAGTAACCACATGAACTATACAAAGTGGATCATCGCACGAGAATTACCTGTATTACGCGAACGCCATAGCATCAAAGGTCCAACTGGCTATCTACAAGTCGTTTTATATAGAAAGGTCGAGTTAAGGACAATGAGTTTGCAGGGCCAAACTGTTAGATGTGAAGAACCCTGGCCTAACGGCTTTTGCTTGACCTCCACGACGTATATCGTGCTTGTAATATACAGTTAAACAATTAACTATGCGAGTGATTTGCAGCGATTTCCAGGGCACTGCATCCACGTAGAGGACATGAGCGAGTGAAGAACGTTGCCACTGGTTTCTTCAACTTTGTTGCTCTAGAAAGGCCATTGGGGCTACGTCAACATCGAATATTCCAAGCGTGCTTTGGTAAACTGCCGGTTGAGGGGGTCGTCACGACTCCACAAGCATAACATCATGAAAGTTGACTGCTAAAGGCGTTTACAGTGCCCGAGAGTTGCTTGATATTGCACGTTCCCCACACATCATACTGTACGTGAATCACCAAAACATTTTGTTATGACGCTGAAGTTGAAAGGCAATACTAGTAATGTACTTCCATAAAACTACATCTTCTTTGGCCAATATTTAATATGCAAGTTATTCGCAAATCTGAGGCAAATCGTATTTTTATTCAAAATTTGGTGTGAACGAGCACGATTCTATAAGTAGCTGACATGCAGATACATTGTACACTTCTACGCCCCACTGCTGTAATAAAGAGCATGTACTTGATAGAATAGGACACTTGACCGATCGTACTCAATCAATTCGACTAGTTTTCTGGCATCCGCGACCGCGTGGGCGAGTCAAAAGAAGTTCAGACTATGGGCATGTTTTATGATTGCAATGGAGTGACCATGTCGTACACAACCCAACAACTGTCCCGCAAGCAAGTTGAAGAAAGTTTAATTTCGTTAGGCTAAATTTTTGCTTTCATGCACCCCAGGTTGCACCCCATCACCCATAGCTTTCTCCCACAGTTTTGGCGTGTGCTATACAGGGGATCAACCTCAATGGCGTACGAATAGATGCGAACGTGAATACACTAGGGTAGACTAGTTTTCTACTCGCAGTCAACTCTCGCAGTCGGCCGACCTGCCCGCTGAACAAATACAGGTACTGTATGGATCATGTTACAAGTTGGTCGTGGTGCGAAAACTTCCATAACTTCTTCCTAACAAGACATATTGCCATTCTGAAGCATGCTATCTATATCTAAGCAACTAGATGAGCTCATTGCGCCTCATTTCGATGAGAATTGAAGGTGTTACGGGTATTTAAAAACTCACTCATCCAAGCAGTGATTTTTTGACGCTTGGTTGTGATGTGGATGATGAAACAATAAAAACAATCTGAAAATAGCTCTGAAATCGTCTTTTCATTGGCCATATTTGTGCCAAATTTCAGTCTTTTCTGGCCATTTTGGTTAGCGAAACAGATCTGGTGTAACATGTCTCTAGTTTTATGGAATAGAGGAAGTAATAATTAATAGTAGACCTCAATTATCGAGCTCAAATCTACCAGTAGATATTCTGCGTATGAAATTGTCTACTGTGCATTTTATTACTCCGTTAGTACAACATTAACGTTAATGGGATTTGCGTGGACACCTTGCATTGCACACAGCGCTGCCGACGACGTTAATGCTGCCGCCACCATCACGTTGGCTGACGGGGAATCATTGTCTTTGTCTGACATGTGGTGACTACACACTGCAATTCGTCTGAATATTGCTGTAATTATTGTTAACGTTTTCAAAACTGTTGGTTTGATTTGTCAAAACCATTAATATTGGCCAATCAGACTTCAACATGATGATATCTAAAAATCGCTCCTTCCCTGTAATAAGATGGCCACCACATTTGACAGGTCGAGTTTTCAGCAAATTACTGAAACCATCCAGCCAATCAAACGTCCCGAAAACAGATCCAGTGACAGGACAGACCCCACCGTGTCGATCGCCGAATGGGTGCGTGCCCACAAGTCAACTTGCCACCGCCATGCCCATGAACCATCACGAGGTGAAGCTGGACGATGGCCGAGTGATGCAAGGCGTCAAGTTCACCCCTCCAAAGCACTGGGTCGTTCAGCGCGCCCTCACCATTCAAACCGTGAGTGGTCCAGCAATGCTCGTCGACGACGTCGTCGCCGGCAACCGGTTGCATGCTATCAACGGGATGCCGGTGCACGACAAGCAATTCTCAAACGTCGTCGAGCACCTTCGAGGCATCACCGGTCCCTTATCGCTCACGATCGAAGTTGTCAAGCCGCGACTGGCATCGAACACCACCATTATCATCGACACGAGGGAATGGACAGTAAAGTTGCCAAATGGAACGAGCCTCACATTCCCGTGCTTGTTGCTGGAGCTCCTGCGAGAGACGGACATTGGGTTGGCGGCGGGTGACACACTTGTGGCAGTGAACGGCCAGTCAGGGGCTGGACTCAACCATCGAAAAATGCAAAAACTCCTTGAAGGAGCACGGCATCTCTCCGTCGTTCACCTCGAATGGGCGAACCATACTCCGTTATCTCACGATCATCACCGCGAACGACATGGTATGACGGCTTGGGCCATCCTGAGTGAATTTTACTCAATGTCCAAGGGCCAAGTGCTGGCCACGAGAAATGCCAGCTATTGCCTGCTGTGCGAGGCTTCCTTTGGTCTGTTCAAGCACAAACACAAATGCACGATATGCGGGCACATGGTGTGCTCTACATGTCAAGCCAAATGTGTGGCAGTTGTCAGCACCATCCAAAACTGCATCAAGTATCGAGCGTGCATCCGCTGTGCGCACCTGGTATCGTCGTATGGCTACCAAATCAACGAGTCATTGAACCTAACTTTGGCCTAATATAAACCCATTCATTGCCCTCACATTTGAGTTACACTTGGCAGTAGTAATGGCGACTGCGTCAAACTGTACCGTATCTCAGGGCGACCACAAACTCTATCAACACATGTCTAGAAAGTACATACATGACGTTATTTTCCATGCAAGAATCATACTGTATCGTTCGTCGTAACTACTACTAGTAGTAGTAGTACACTCTATCTCGTCAAGGATGTCCATCCGCCCCGCCTCGTCCTATTTCCGTCCAGTGGCTTGTTTTGGCGTTTGCAAGCAACCCCATCCGAAAGTGCGCCACAATGTCGGCTACACTCGGGCGTTTCGATGGCACTTCTTGAAAACACTGTACCAGCAGATCTCGGTGGTCCACTGGGATGTCCGATACATGGTCAAGCCGTCCGCCCTCCACGACCCACGCAGCGGCTTCAGCGCCTGTCAAGTTTCCAAACGGCCGCGCCTCCGTATACGTCTCCCACATCAACACGCCAAACGAATACACGTCTGAACTGGATGTAAATGTATGGGGGGGCTGGAGGCTCTCAGGGGCAAAGTACTTGAGGGCAGCCATGTTGCTATCTTGCTCAAATGACCCAGGGCGACGACCAGTGGACTCTTGTCCACTTCCGTTAGTTGGTACATTCGTTATTGGAACGACTGGGAACAACTCGGTCAGCATAGCTCGCTTCGTGACTTTGTCCACGGCGCAGTGCCGCGCGCTAATGTCCCGCAGAACGTACCCCGCTTCGTGGACGTTGAGCAGGCCAAGGGCAATGTCGCACAGGATGCGGTCCTTATCGATTTGCGAAAGCAACGTAGTTGCTGGCATATTCCGACAAGGGGGGCGATGGTTCTCGTGCAGCAACACGTCCAGTTTGCACGCGTGCGGGGTGTAGACACTGACGATGGCCCACGGCTCGTTGACGTCAGTCGTAGCCCCAACAACAGACTCAACATGGGGATGGTGGCCCAGCACTGTCAAGATGGCGGCCGTTCGCTCGAAGTCTGTTGGAGTAGTGACGCGGTTTCCCTTGTGGTTGGTATTGTTGCCGTCATTATTATAGGGGGGGATATCGGCAACAGGAAGAGGAGACCGCACCATGCGAACTACGACCTACACACATGTAAACACATATGCGACATCGTTTAACACCTCATCCCTTAATCGTGCGAGTACAAGCTACGATGACGTGCGTGTACCTCTTGGCGTTGGTAGTCTGCCAGGTAGGACAATCCGGACGGCGCGTGCGACACGAGGTTGCGGAGGCGGAGGTCGTGGAAGGGGATGGGGCGATGCTTTACTGGCACGACGTCGACTTCTCGTCGCAGCTCCGCGACTTCAAACGACTCGCCGCGGTTACTCGTGATAAACACGAACGAACGCACCACGACCACACACGTCCCCACGACCAGCGTGGCCACAAACACAGCTTGGCCGAGCTTGACGACGGGGTGGTGGTCGGGCGTGCTCCCTTGTATGCGAAAGGTGATACACGACGAGTCCCCTATCCATGTCATGGTGGTGTTTATGGTCGTCGTTGTCGTCTTCGCCGTCGCATCGGTGGATTCGTCGGGTGTATTCGCGACAGCAATATGGAACCCGTCCGGCGCGGCCATTGACACATGCACGAGCGCACCGCGTCGGAACGGCACCACGCTACTGGCGCCGTCGTCGTCGTCGTCGAGCTGTTGTTCCCGTTCCCCTCGCCGGGAGTGGACGACATTCGTCCACAGTGTCAAGTCGAACGTGGCATCTCTAGAGACGCAAGGCGGCGCAAACGTCCGGAATGTCACGGCGTCTTGGTTGGGTTGCAGCGGTGGCAGCAGTGCCGCGGCCGCCTCGATCGTACGCTGCGACGGCGTGTCGTCGGCGGTTTTGGGGGGGTTGGGAGGATGCACGGCGAGCTGGGCCAACGCTGGCGGTGGGGAAAACGGACGTCGTTGCAGGTCCAAAAACGATGTCGCAGGGGCTTCCTGATGCTCGAGCTTCTGTAGCAGCTCGGAGGCGTTCTTGATGTCGCGGAGGTCCACGACCGCCGAGCCGCGCCGGGGTCGACGGATGGGCTCCACTTGGCCGCGCCATTCCGACGTGTTGTCCACCAGACTCTCGAGAATGTCGGCTTCGTGCTCGAGAAACGCCGACGACCGAGGCGACGGACCCCGGGCCACGGGGGAATCTGCGATGACGTGGGCGGCCGCCAGCAACGGCTCGCCAGACGCGAGCGCGGCCAGCGCGTCCGACGCGTTGCCAATGTCGCCCAGGTTCACAACCGCCCCACCTTCCAGAGAGCCCCCTTCCTCGGACACATGAGGATGGCGGCGAGATATCCGACGAGGTTGATTCGTCGTCTCGTCCAAGGGCATTTGCGGCGGCGTTCCGCCCAAGTAGTACGATTGGTCTCCGGACGAGCCGTCCAGACTTGGCGGCGACGGGCGTCGGAAAAATAATGCGGCGTCGTCCTCGTCCGGATATGCGACGGACGTTGGCGGCGGCGCCACGTATCTACGACGCAGAGCCCCGTTCAAAAACAAGAACGATATGGGAGCGCGTACCGATTTTTCAGGATGATGGCGTTGTCGTCATCGTCGTCGAGTTGTGGTTCGGCCTTGGAGCGCGGGACGGCGGGTCGGGACAGCGGCGGTCGCGGTCCTCCCCCGTTCTCTTGCACGCGCTGTTCCATGCCCGACGACGTTCGCGCCATCGAGCCCGAGGTCGTTCGGGGCATCGAGCCCGAGGTCGTTCGAGGGAGCGATACCACCGACCGCCGGCCGTTTTCGAGCAGAAGTAGGTTTCGATTAGGGGCGACTTGGTGTAGTTGCTGGTTGGTGGTTCTGCCGGCTTTGTCGACGCACACGTGGCACAGCGAGATTTTGTCCCCGCCCAGACCAGGCGCGAGGCGTTGGTGGACGCAGCAATGCGAACAAAATACGTCGCCACAGCCTCGGCACGGGTACTTGCGCTGCAGCAGATGAAACTTGGACCCGCAGCCGCGGCAGCACCGCGACGTCCCGACGAGGCTGTGGTTGTTTGGGATGAGGTGGCCAGAAGCAGTAGGCGGGTCGGCGGCGTTAGCGGGGGGGAGTCGCATCGGAAGCTCGACGGGCGACCCCGACGACGACACGGATCGCACCCGCCGCACATCGTGGCTGTTGCGGAAGTGGTCGTTCAGGTAGCGCAGACTGTGGAGGCGCTGCGCCATCATGAGCCGCCGAACGTCTAGCGGGATGGCCACGTCCCCAAAGTCAATTTGCAGTAGGTACGTCACTTCCACGACGTTGTTTTCATCTTTGGTTTCGTTAACGACAATGCCGGACCGGAAGAGGCGGCCGCGCACAATATCCTTGGACCGGTGGTGGTTCGACGGAAGCGGGCGATGCGACGACAGCGGCGCGTAGTCGATCGAGTGCATCGCACACACCCATCCCCGCGTCATGCGGGTCGTGTCCATGATGTCTTCTTGCGCCTGAATAAACCACGGGTGAGGCTTGTCACAAGACGACCCAGGCGGCAGGCACGGCACATATTCAGACAACGAGGTCTCGCAATCGTCATGATGGCAATAACGAGGATACAACCAGATCAAGATGGATGGAGCGAAAGAAGAAGATGTACGTGGCTTGATTGTTGTACCTCCAAGTAGACGAAGTCGCGCGGCGCAATAGACCGACTTGGGCTGGGCATCGTGGCCGACTTCACGGAAATGGCGTGGCGGGGAAACTGCTTGGATTGCGCACGGATGGACACGAGCTTTTCGTAATGAATCAAGTCTCCGTAGAACGCTGCGTGGAACGCTGGCGCGTGGTCGGCATGTGCGTTGAGTAGACTCGCAATTTGTTCGACGCTGACGCCGCGGACGCGCGTGACACCGCACATAAACGTCAGCGTGTCGTTCACCGGACACTCACCAACGTAGAGGTCCACGGGGTCCGTCGTCGAGGTTGGCTTGACGGATGTCCATCGCACAGTCGACTTGTCTGTGCGTCGGGCGGCGTAGGCGACGATCGTGCATACTTCACGTCCCAGTCCCTTGAGCGTAGCGATCTCGCTCTCTGTAAACTAGCATGGGAATGAGGCACATGCAGAGAAGTGTTGGCATGATGAGGATGTCATCGCACCTCGAAGCGGTTTGTCATGGCCGGCAGTGTCCAACACACCCTCCTCGCTCGTCACTGCGCGTGTGGGTTGTTGTGTTTGCAATGACACGGACAAATCCCTTGAAAACGAATACCATATATATGAAATCTCACAGTCTATTGCGACATGCTAGCAGGTCAAAATCGCAATCAAATCTCTCCAATATTCTATATATAACGTTATATGGAATTCGTTGCTTGTTTCAAATGCGTGTCTCGTGGCATAGAAAGTGGTAGAATAGTATCGCAGGTCGCCATCCGACACGCCGATACCTAATGCCAAGTGATTTTGGCTACTGCAATCAGATTTTGCCGTGATATTATTTTTTGCGACAAGATCAAAATCCAAATTAAATGCAAGCTGACCCAGCTCTCCTCAATTCGTCCTGAAGGGTTCGAATGCGAGATTCAATCTTGAGCCGATTCGCGGCCACGGCAGTGATCGTCAGGAGCTCCGTCGAGTACTGCAGCGCCGACGTGGTGTCACCCGACGCGATGCTGGCAAGCACTAAGTTGTTCAAGATGATGCGTTCTCGCTTCTTATCCTCGACGTTCCGGGTTAACGCCAAGCACTTGACGTAGTACCGCACGGCATCCTTGGGCAATTTCTTATCTAAATATACCGTGCCAAGGTTGCCCAGCGCCCGCGCTTCGACTGTCTTCTCCCCTACATTACGACCACGTTCACAACTTTTTACTTTGAGTACTTTTGTGACATACCAGCTTCTTTGGCGCAGTATTCGGCCCGTAAGAAGTAACCGATCGCGTCGTCCAGCTTGCGTTCTTTGTACAGACTCATACCGGTCTCAATCTGGGCCACGGCGTCGGTTTTTCCATGAAGAAGCGGGGGTAGAGAGTTGGCTGGTCCCAGGGGGTTCTGTCGACCACCATTGGTGTCAACATTCAAACTGGTGGATGATGGTGGAATGTGCGACAGCGTCGCGGAAGCATGGCCAAAGTGGCCGTATTCGCTGGTGCTGCGGGCCAAACTGCCACTTGCAAACGTGCCGTAGGCGCTGGAAGGCGTGTTGTCGCTGTGACGCCGTACGACTTGGGGCTCGGGAAGGGCGCGTGCGTCCGGTTCAACTGGCCCGTGGCCAGCCCGCCGACCGCATGTGTCCATTGTAAAGTGCCCATACTTGGACGAGGGGGGGAGCTGACGGGGCGGCTCGGACGACGCGCCAAAGCGACCGTAGGCATTGTTTACCTGAAAGCCAAGTAGGCCGTAGTCATTGACGGAAGCGGTGAACGGGGGGAGGTGGGGGGGGGTGGAGGTGGCGGCGCCGTAGTCACCATGCGACGAACCTGCTTGTTGCGACGTGGGGGGAGGCTCAAGCGACGATGCAGACGACGAGAAACTCCCTAATGTGGTGGTGGTGGGACCAAACCGGCCGTACGCGTCGGTAGTCGAAGGCAACACCTTCATGGCACTTGGTTGTCCGACATCGCCGTAATCGTTGGAGGGCTGCCCCATGTGTGTATTCGTAGGCCCCAGTTGGCCGTAGTCGCTGTGATGTGTCACCCCATTGCCCTGAACGAATCGTCCGTACGCCGACGACGCATGTGGATGCGAGGACAACAAAAAAGATGGCAGCGAGTGTTGAGAAATGGACCGATTGGCGTCGACAGTCAGCGGAGGAGGAGGAACTCCCGAGCGCGCCATCGAGTTGACTAGATGAAAGCTGTTGCCGCCATGTGTAGAGGTCGATTGGTCGGCAGGATTGGACGTTCGCGAAGGATGCAGATCTCCACGCATTAGCGTCGAGTACTCGTTGGATGGCGGCGGTGGGGCGGCCTTTCGGCTGTGTTTACCGCCTGCGAGCGGGAGATTGCCATAGTCAGTGCTCCCCGGACCCGTGGTTACGAGCGTAGGTGGGGCCACCACCTCAATGAGGTCGTTCGTGCTCAAGTTGCCATATTCGTTGTTGGCATAAGTCGATTGAGTTGATCCAAACATGGACGAAGAGGATGCCTGAATGGACTTCAACGTGGCATTGCATTCAATCGACAGCCGGGAAATGATCTATCAGTGCAATATCGATTACTCTTTGAGTAGAAGTATTATATAATATCACGAAAGATATATATCAAGCAACATAGAATGTAAAAGCGAGCCATACAACATATGCTTCATTCACAATAGAGTAAGACACGTACAGGAGTTCGAAGGCGTACGCTGCTGCCTTCAATAAACGACGCAATGGATGGATACTTCACGCCGTTGCCGCCGTCTTGGAGCCCGTAGCCTTCCCGTGGATTGTGCACAATCAGCACGTTTTTGATCTCCTTCCGACCATTATATATGGGATCCGTGTGCACTTTCATGTACGTGAGCGTAAACTTATCCGGCTGGGTTTCACTGAACCGCACGAGGAACGCCCCATCGTCCGAGGACGTGGTCACGGCCTCGGCTTGGGCTCTGGAGATCACGCCATGGAACCACGGCGCGATGCCAAGTTTGTCCTGAAAGCATTGCACGGCCTTGAGCACACATTTGTCAAACGGACCAAATCGGATCAAGAACCGCTCCCAGTCGCGGAACACAACGTCGGACTTGCGTTCGAGGCACACGTCCAAGTACACACTGGCCTCCTTCATGGACATCTGAGGCAGCATGATAGCGGGACATTGGAAGAGAGCCACGACTAAAGCATCCCTGGAGACGCTCGGTTGCGGGTAGATCGTCTCCCGCCACCACTGCACACCATCGTCCATGACTGTGTGAACTGCGCACAGAGTTGGATAGAGAGTTGATTATTGCGCCATTGGATTGGTTAAAAATCTCAATCTTGGGGTGTATGATTGGATAAAATCAAATAAACCTGAGGTTCATCATTTGCTAGGATTGAATCCTGCAATCTGATTGGCTGAACGATTTAGCCAATCATAACGTCAAATTAGTGTGAAAAATTCAGTACAGTACAAAAATCGATGGATAGATTTGGCGATTCAGCACGAAAGTCCAAATTTTGGGTAAAAGGACAATAGCAGGTACAGGTATGCAAAAATGTAACCGACAAAGGTGCACGAAGCGTAACCCTGATCAGCGCGACGATGTGAAAGCCACCAAAGGTGTTACCGACTTGAACCCGATCATGTCCAAGTCGTGATTGCGTCGGAGTACGACGTCATGCTTGAGCATCAAGCTCGCTCCACTCGAGAATCCATTCGCGTAAACTAGCGAACAACTTCCCGCCACCACTGCAGCGCCACATTTACGAATTAATCCGGCAAGTTGCCCGGGCTAGGTGACGCTTTGAATGTGGAGGTGACATCAACCATCTGTGCTCGCGAAATAGCCCTCTGTGCAACCAGATACCAATACCCCGACGACAACCGCTCCCATCATCAACGTGCCACGACACAACACTTCCGACACGAGTTGTGGACGCAGGACGACTGGGACGAGGAGTGGATGCAAACGGTCTGATCATTGGGTACTGGAATGTCGGGATTTGCGATTGTTACACCAACATGCTGCCCAACTGCATTATGTCGTTCCTATGTCCTTGTGTTGCCTTGGCTCAAATCACCCATCGCATCGGCCTCATTTGATTCCTTACTGTACCCCTGCTTGCCCTGTACGGCATATGCTACGCTGCGATTTTGGCCTTTTTCCTGCTGTATGTTATGCAAGTTCAACTTGTCAACGAAGAAATGTCTGGTGCACTCAAGTCGTTGGCTATGAACAAGTCAGTGGCGATGCAAGACACGGTGTCCAAGGTGTTGTGCCAAATGGATTCCACCGCTGTGGCCTTGGGCCGGACCAGGAAGTACTCGATAGTGACCATGTCGTTCTCCGGCGCAACGTCCGAGATGGCTTTCGCATTCCCGGGACTTGCATCGAAGACACTCTCTTCAGCGTATGGTGTCCCTTCTGTGTCATCGCGCAAATGGCGATACACACGGAAGCCTACGAAACTCACACGTGGAGATTCCAGCCCCGCGATGTGTTGCCAGGCTACACCCTATGGTGTCCCTTCTGTGTCATCGCGCAAATGGAGATACACACGGAAGCCTACGAACTCACAAATGTGTTGCCAGGCTACACCCTTTCGATATTCCAAGGGGCAACATCGTCATCGATGGGATCCAGCAAGCAAAACATATCTGTGGGGAAGCATTCAAGGACCTCACGCAGACCTCCATAAGACGAATGTGTCGTTCGCTAAGATCCGAGTATGCCGTGTGCTCGAAATGGATTTCTCACTGAAATCTTGGAGAAAGAAGGATAACTTCGAAAGTTCTTGCCACCAATTTTTGGCGACGATAGAGTAGTTTTTTTATTGGCCAAAAATAAAATAAAGTTTGATGTTTTTAGCTTGCTCGCAGTAAACAGGCAACATACTTAACTACATGACGCTTTTCGAGGACCCTCGGAGTTGCCGTCAAGTTGAACCCTAGAATCCAATGCAGCACCCCTGCGTTGCATGCCCATCGAGCTTGAGAGAGACTAACAGTTAGAGTTGGTTTGAGAAGGTCTTGTGTTGAGATTATTGTTTTTTTATTGGTTTTCATATAGCCAGTCGGTCGAAGTTCGAAGTAATTCAGGCCATCATGGCATACTGTTTTGGGCGGCAAGATAGGGGGCATCCACATTGCCCTTCCTCGTCGACTTCGTATCCGATGAGGTTGTGTTTCGTCCTCCTTGCAGGAGTGCTGCTGCATGCTGCCCGTGCTCAAAGTAACGTTACACAGAAACCTCTTTCGTCAGTGCCAGTGACGACCACCGCCACGCCACCAACTTCAACACCCCGGACGACACCGTGGTCTGACCCGACCACCCCGAGTCCTACGCCCGTCCCAACCACTACGGATGAAGTCACGACGACCGCTGCGCCGACAACTACGTTGACTCCTGTGACGACGGTGGTAGAAACTACAAAAACGCCGTCAAAAGACCCAACGCCTATCACAACGCCACCGCCGCCGCCGCCGCCGCCTCCGTCAACGTCGACTTCGAAACCTACAGCTTCTACCCCACACCCAATTACAACCGTCTCCGACGCGACAACCGACGCTCCGAAGTCCACAGCTGCCACATCATCGCCAACGACGACGCCAACGACGACTCCAACGACAACGCCAAGGACAACGCCAACCGCTGAAGCTGCAAGTGGCACGTCGTCGACCACGTACTTGGCGATTGCTGGAGGCGGTGTGTTTGTGATCGGCTTTGTGATATGTCTGGTGGCGTTGCTCCGTCGCCGTCAAGCCACCGATGACGAAGGCGATAATCACCACCACATTACGGCGCAGGAATACTACTCGAATCAATCGAACAACCCTCACCACCAACTCACGGGCGGGTTAACCCAAAAGTACTCCCAGGGAGGTACCATGTCTACGACACCGGCGACCATGCGTCAGTCCATCGACTTCTCCGGTCCTGGCACGGCCCGCGGATCGTCCCATCCTCGCTCTGGCAACAACCACACCCAAGGCTCTCGGTCGTCCAACACTGGCGGCCCGTATTCCATGACCGGCGAAGTAAATGAGCTAGCCGGATACGATATCCGGTTCGACAAATCGATGTCGAATTTCCGAGTCGCGAACGATGAAATTGTGGTCGGCGAGTTGGTCGCGTCCGGCGGGTTTGGGGTGATCTACCGCGGGCAGTTCGCCGGCGAAGACATCGCGATCAAGAAATGTCTTCCGGACAAGGTCAACAACCACAGCGCCATGGAGTCGTTCATGCTCGAGATCAAGCTCATGTCCAAGATGGACCACCCCAACATCGTGCGGTTCGTAGGGGTTGCGTGGACGACCCTCGTGCAACTCAAGATGCTGACCGAGTACATGCCTCGCGGCAACGTGCGCATGCTGTTGCAGGACGTGAAGAGCAACAACGGGCTCTCCATTCCGTGGGGGTATGCTTCCGGTAGGAACAATCGCGCGCCGACCAAGCTGCGCATTGCCGCCAACGTGGCGGAAGCGCTCGTGTACCTGCATTCGAACGACCCGCCCATCATCCATCGCGACCTCAAGAGCAACAACGTCCTCCTCAGCAACGACTTTGAAGCGAAACTCACGGACTTTGGCACGAGTCGGGAGATGTCCGACGAGCACACGATGACCGCCGAGATCGGCACGCTGGCGTGGATCGCACCGGAGATCATGCTGGGAGGCCATTACACTGAAAAAGCAGACATCTACTCGTTCGGCGTGCTGCTCAACGAACTGGACCTGTGCGACCTGCCCTACTCGAACGTGGCCGACAGCCGCGGCGCCGGCATCAGCCACACGCGACTGGGGGTGCTGGTCGCTCAAGGCAAGGTCTCCCCGCAGTTCTCGCCCCAGTGCATTCCGTGGGTGCTGGAGATGGGCCAGGACTGCCTCCGCTTTGACCCGAGCCAACGGCCCACGGCCATGCAACTCGCGTATCGCCTGAGGCGAGCTATTGCTGGCGTCAAGTAGAGATGTATAAATATACAAAGTTTGTTATATAAAAAGTATTTTTAATACACCAAATCAAAATATTGCCTACTATTGTTGCACGCATGATACTATTGAATACTACTTCGAAGTACTGTAGTATTTATACTATTTATAATAGTAATTGATCTTACAGTTTGTGTTTACTAACGTTAGTATATATTTTAATATATGTATATTATAATTAACGTATGTATTTTAATATGTACTAGTAAACACAAACTGTAAGATCAATTACTATTATAAATAGTATAAATATGTGTTTACTAGTATATATTTTAATATATACTAGTAAACACAAACTGTAAGATCAATTACTATTATAAATAGTATTAATACTTCCTCTGTTCGCAAATGCTGTTGACACTTTTTTCAAAATACTATGACGAATGCGAAATAAGTCAAAATAACCTATACCAGTAAATAACAACACGGAAGTATTGATACAGTACTATTAATATATAAATACAAACTGCAGTATCCATTATTAATATCATGAAACTCGGACTTTATATTGACGAATGGGCTGGGGAATGCGCTTGGACGAACGACGCGATCGCTGCGTGGAGCACTTGGATGTGTACCAGCGATGTCGTTTGGTTGGGGAATCGAAGTGGTTTGCCATCCCAATGCACATCAACATGATGGGACCCGTCTCGGTTGTCGCGGTACACCTCCACAACCAGCATGGATCCATATGATGGCGCGATGATGCCACTGGAATGATGAAGTTGCAGTGCGCACACGAGGGCCACGAGCGAGTTGTCATGCGCAGACACCAAAGTGAGCCGGCGTCTCTGCGGCGCCATCTATATCCACTTGTCACCTTAGCGTTGAACTAGGACGATCACCTCGATAGCGTCGGAGAGCAATGATTGGAAGGTCCGCATCGCAAGCAGAAACCCCCGTTGGCCTCGCTGGACATCACTGTAGAACATGTACCATTCCCAAGCAGCGTGACGGACGATGGACTCGTACATTGCGGTGGTCATTCCATTGGGCAACGGCAATTCATGGGCTTGAAGACAGTCTAACACCTCGCGCACTGTCGAAACATTGGCACAGTTAAGGCAAGAGTACTACTACGTAGATATAGTGGAACGTTACATGAAGCCCAATTAACAACGCCACGAATGCCAAGCACGTCCTTGACGGCATCTTCCAATGCCTTGTAACCTGGTAGTGTACTCAGCGCCACCTCCCTCGCATGTTGCGCGCCTTGGCGGTAGTCGTGGCCCGTGAGGATGGGCGTCAACTCTTTCGGGTCGACAGTGTGCAACACGAAAGGATTATCTGAGGTCAAGCCAACAATATCATGACATAGGCCAGCGAGGAAACTCTGAGCCGACAGGATGGTTCGGCGGATGTTCGTGGAAGTGGCGTAAACGACGTCATGGATGTTTATGTTGGCCAGGAACACTTGGTATCGTCGACGAAATGCACGGCCGCGACGTTCCATGTCCGCCACACCTTGTTCCGTCAGATGGCCCTTCGGCCACACTCCTCCAGGCATCGGAGGAGGCGCATCCGAGTCACTTCCATGGACCGCGACAAGGGCATTGAGACGACGGCGCGAAGATTCTGACGCAAGTTGAGATATCCAGTACGCCGTATCTCCCTCGCTCATCTTGAGCATCGTTCCCACGGCTCCTGTAATGGGTGACCGGTCGCCATGACGGAACACTGCCAACACGTGCACAAGTTCCATGTTGCTGATCAAAAACCAGGAATCCGGATACAATTTCCGGAAGTATGGTTCAGTATCCGAACTGTATTGAATTATCCGAATTACCCATTGTTGTGGCCATGGCAGACAGCAAGTATGGCAGATCGTCGGAGCTCCGCGCAAGCGGAGGAGGCCGCGGAAGAGGAGACATGAGTAATGCGTCTTCCTCGAACCACCGCCCAACCTCTGGAGGAAGCGGAGGGGTTGATGACTCCAAAAGACGCCAAGACACACGAGAACGATCTCGCTCTCGAGGCCGAGCACCAAAGCAGGAAAGAAGAGATGTTGATCTCAGAGGTGGTATGCGTTCCATAGACCGATCGCATCGCACCCAGCAGCGAAGTCAAGATAGGCAGACGACGCAACCACCGTCAAGCTCACGACGTCACGACAGCCCTCCAAGAAGGAATGACAATTCACCTCGTAGGAACCCCATTCCACGAAGAAACGCTAGCCCCCCACGAAGAAATACCAGTCCTTCAAGACGACACACTAGTCCTTCACGCAGGAACCCTAGTCCATCATCCAGACGAAACTCTAGTCCATCTAGACGAATCTCTCCGTGGTCCCAGCGAGACCATTCCCCTCGGCCTCGCGACAAGCGTTCTTCGCCACAGCATCGTCGAAGTCCACCGCGTGAAAGGCATACGTCGAGCCCCCCACCACGTCCAAAGATCCAACCTGTGAACGATCGGGCCCTTTCTCCGTCGAGTCTGACCAGTGACATGGAAATTGACGAAGAACCCGCCGTCAGCATCCGTCCAAGCGACTCCAACGAGGAGCCAACAGCTCCGACAAAGCACGCCGCTACTCCTTCGGCCGCCGTACTCAGCGAGTCGAAGGAAGATGTAGCCCAAGCCACCCTAGCTAGTGCATCACTGCCGAAAGACCAGCATCATCCTCGAAATCGAGCCGGAGAACAAGCACCTGCCAAGCACGACCATCGCGAAGGACTGAAAAATCCGTCCAGTCGAGTTTATACTGCCGAAGAGTTGGCTGGACTCCAACTCATGCAACAATCTGCCGACGAACATGCCGCGAAGAACGCGGACCGCAACGCAAGGAAGGATCCCCAGGAAACCAAGCACAGGACACCGGAAGATGGACATGTTAACAAGCCCTGGAACTATCCCAATGATGTTAAGAAGGGGACCACGGTTCCGTTGGAACAATCCCAAGATACGAAACGAGGGGATCATTCGAAGGACGAATGGGCAGACAATACACGACGGAAACCACTACAACGGTCTGCCGAGGAAAACAACTTGGTGAGGAAATATCCCAAGGAAGCCACGGACGGGGCTATGTCCAAGAATGAAATCGAAACATCCCAAGGTAAAAAACGAAAAGCAGAGTCGGAAGAAGGACGAGGTGGATCGGCGAAGCAGCCGACGCGAAAGAAGCTAGACAAACCTCCGCGTCCGGTGTACAGCAACCCCAAGACAGAAGCGTGGGCGCAAACCTGGACCGACGTGTGGCAGAAGTACCGGGAGGCCAACCGCATCGAGACCAAGTGTCTGGCGTTGCAGGGAGATGTAGACTTGTCATCATTCATGGTAGCGCTGGCAGAGTCGGAGCTGGCGACGGTCGGCCAGCGCATCCAAGCGCATGAAGCCAGGTTGCAGCAATGGGAGCGGGATGGCGTCCTCGACATGATTGTCCACCCGTCGTCGCCGCCGCCGACGCCGACGCCCGACGAAACGTAGCTACTACTGTAGTCGTTCAAAATATAGCTCTAGGACTGCCTTGTTATTTTTGTAACTGTCAAATGTAACTGTCGTCGGATGACCACACCCTTTTTAAAACCCGTACTGTATATCTTGCGAAACGACGCGCCATCGTTGTCATCCATGGGCAAGCACACAAAGGCGGCGGGACGGCCTGCGTGGAGTGCGGCGGCGATCGCGCTCGTGTACGATCAGCACGGGTTCGACGTCGTGCCGGCAGTGTCCGAGTCGATGGCCGCGTCGTCGACGCCACACTCGTGGGGTGTGTTCTTCAACCTCACGAACGCCATCGCCGGTGCAAGCATCATCTACATCCCACACGCGATGGCGGACGGCGGGTTCCTTCCCGTGCTTGGCCTTCTCCTTCTCTGTGGCGGTATCACGTGGTACGCGATGAACATCCTCATCGTGTTGGGCCACCACCACCACGTCCAGTCGTATGAAGACCTAGCGCAACTCGCGTTTGGCGTCCCGGGGTTCCTCGCCGTGTGTTTTTTCCAGTTTACGTTTTCATTTGGGGCCAACTGCTCGTACTTGCTTGTGATTGCCGACACGCTACCTGTAGTCATTGGTGCGACCGAATCTTGTCTTTTTCCCCATAGCAATCATATCCATCCACATGATGTTGCCTATTATATGTATAGGCCGGCTGTGCAAGATGCACATTGCACATGGTGAGCCCGTGCCTAGCTCCCAAACCTCGTGGTACCTCCGGCTGGTTGCGGACCGAAACATTTGCGTGACGTTAGTGGTACAACCAACCTACCAAGAAATGTAGAGTCTCATGTGTATCGTTAAATTTGTGTGTATGCGGCGTAGGCGGTGTTGGTGCTACTGCCCATCTGCATCCATCGCAGCTTTGCCAGTTTGGAGAAATTCGCGGGTGTGTCCGTACTCAGTGTTGTAGTTTGCACCGGCGTCATCGTGTACGAGTGTATGTTTCACAAGGACGAGTACGTGGCCGAGTCTCGTGGCTTCATGTACGACTACGTGGCAGTCCACCCCGACATCTTTCCGGCGCTGGGGACGATAGCGTTCGCGTACGTGTGCCAGCACCAGACGTTCCTCCTCTACAACACCATGTCCCCCGCCACGCCCCGTGGATTTGCCGATATTTCCCGCGCGGGGGTCGCTGTCTCAGTCGCCCTCATCTTTGCCCTGAGCATCCCCGGGTACCTCTTGTTCCTTCAAGCCACTCGAAGCGACATATTTCTCAACTTTACCAACCTCTCGTACGTTGAAATGATGTAATTGGGTATAAAATATCCACGTTTGGAGGCCTCCAACTCATGTCGGGGGGGCGGCATTTATTCCCGTAGCGACAAGCTCATTCAAGGGTGCCGCCTACTTACTGCCGTCAACATGATCCTGACCTACCCCCAAGAGGTAATCGTCAAATGTACGACTGGAAACACGTCGTGACGACGATGGAGCTTGGGTAGTTTATGGTCGCCCGGCACACGCTGCAGCGTCTGTTGAACTTGCACTACGCCCACGTGAGTGTTGTGGATTTGTTCCACGAGCAAACGAAGCCCATCAACCAACGGACAGTGTGGCACGACGCCAGTGACGAAGACGGAGGTCAACCGACCCTTCCGACGGCGCTGTCCACGCCATGGCATGTCGGCCTCACGGTCGTGCTGCTGACGTCGACGCTGCTGATTTCCATGGCCGACCGCCGGCTTGGCGACGTGACCAGTCTCACGGGGTCGTTCAGCGCCGTCGCCCTCGCGTTCGTCTTGCCCGCCGCGTGCCATCTCAAGCTGCAAGTGCCGGCGCAGCACCGCCGCCGGTGGAACGATTCCGTCGTGCCGTGGTGCACCATCACGTTTGGCACGTTTGTGTTTTTTGTCAGCACCACCACGTCCATCCTGGCCATTCGTCGACGGCACATGGAGACTCCTTAGTAGTAGTAAGTACTACAAAGTACTAGTAGGGCATTAGTCATCCCAATCATGGGCGGCAAATGGCCAGGCAATTTGATCGGGAACAAGAGTGTGCTGTACTGTCGTTATCTCTTCATACATAGGACTTCGTAGGTAGGTACTACCGGTACGTACAAACTACATGTGAAGGGATTGCGGTATTACTAGTACTGTAATAAATGAACTATACTACTGTAGTACTAGTACTCCATACTGGGGTAATCACCAATATGTATGGATAACTTGGCGAATACGACAAATTTATCCGACATTAGTCTTATTGGTTAAAAGTTCAATACGTCGTAGACTTTCATTGGTAGATGACTCTTCATTTTCAATACAAAGACCAAATGTCGTATGTTTGTTTTTATTGAAGTCTCTGACAAGGTGAGGACTTGAACCGTAAAGGATGCCACGTGTATTGCGTGTAGAGGTTGCAACATGGATTCGAAGCCTTCCTCACGGCTCATGTCCTCACCTGGTCAGGACATGAACCGTGAGAACACGGCGTGTCTCCGGGTGTCACGTTTATTGCGTGCAGGGGCTGCAGGCGGCATGACCACAGCTCTTGGTGTGTCCCATGGAGGCGTGGCTACAGAAGTCCTGTCATCTCCAGGGACGTTGCAATGGCTTTAATTTCCATTGAGGAATCTAGAAATGGTATAGTTAAAGATTGCCATGACGAAGATACGTGAGCGTCAGTACAATGGAAAAAAGAGTGTATCGTGGTCGGCGACCCCTCGCTTTAGTGGACACACCAACGTCAGCGTGCTGCAGTCTACTGCATCATTCGTGAGTTTACCATCCGCAACACGTCCCAAATGGGGCATTGCCAACTCGCCTGGTGACTGTGTACAGTACATCAACGTGATCACGTTGTCGGGGACGACAGGTTGGCAAGCTTCAGTGGTGTCATCTCCGCGACGCATAGCCCCGACTAGATGTATAACTTCATTGCTAAGGTCGATAAGTATGTCGTATGTAGTATCCGTCATAACTCCGATTGTGCGAATTGGTGGGTCAGTGAAGTTGTTGCTAACGTTAATGCAGTAGTTTAACGCAAGCACCGAAACCCAAACTTCTTCAAGCCCCAGTGTAGTGGCCCTGGCAACACCCGGTTCCTACGAATTCACAGACATGAACATGCCGTGTGCGTCGGTGGACGATCGCACGACCTGTCTATGGATGTACATAAAGCACAACAGCTACTTCACTGTTCTCGTACTAGTCAAAACTCCTCACCTTATTTGCTTATCTTTGTTCTCCGGATGCTGAGTCAAGGTCATGGTTATTTTCGGGATATGCTGTGTCAAAGTCTTGGTTATTGTTATGTCGATCCGACTGTGTTTTCAACCAATATAAGCTGTATATGTTCAATGTGAAAGATATGTTGCTCCCACGACAACTACATCGCCCAATCGAATTGTCTAAAAAATAACTGACCAATCAAAATTCAACCATTTGTCGGTTATCCAATCACCGACTTCAAATTTGTCGGTTTGATGTCGGATGCCACCTAAATTTACATGTGAGTATATCAGCAATTCTTCGCCAAAACGTGAGCGCACTTAACAAATATTAGATTGTAAATCCAATCTTTGGATATAGTCCACGAAGGGTTAACCTGAGTGAAATTCCATTCCAAGAGCAAGACTCATGGTGGCGCTGTTGAATTGAAAGTGAATACTGTCTGCATAACTGAGAGATTCTGTGCCAATCAATCTTGCTCCAACAATTTGTGGTTTTGTCCAAAGATTGGATTGACACTGTAATACTTGTTAAGTGCGATAGTCATTGTTAAGTGCGTTCACATTTGGCGAAGGTTTGCTGATATACTCACATATTGGCGATTACTGGCCCCAGAACTCGACTATTTACTGTATCTCATAGAGGGTTCCAAAACTACGAGTATGGAGTATATTCTCAACGCTCCGTGAACTATTATTTCCTATATGACGACTTGATTGATCTATCCACACTGCCGTTTGATCGGTGTCCTTCCTTCGTCGTGAACATTGGGATCGTTAATATACTGTTAATGGCAATGATAAACGTCAATCTACCTATTGCGGGGTCACGTCGGTCATGAGACTTCCACCACATCCACCAGCTTTGTTTAGTATTTTTGAGTAACTTAAGAGACGATGCGTTCGCGGAACCGACTCAACAACGCAGACATGTCCTTGGCATGGCCAAACATTTGCCGAGTCATGCGAGTCCACGCGCTTTGCCGCGCCGTGAAGATCCCCGCGACGGTGCCCCGGTACGGTGATTCAAACAAGTCCACGACCTCCAACTCCTTCATGTGCTCCTGGGCACCATCTGAGTGGTCAAACTGGAACCACGTGTCGGTGGCGTCGGTCCCGATGACATCGGCAATCACGCGGTGGCCCCCTGGATGAAGGTACAAGAACGCGCCGATGTCGTACACGCGACTGTTGACGACGATGCAGTCTGCCTGGCCTTGACTGGCGAGCAGGTGCATGCGTTCCAACGGCCGCGTGATGCGATGTGTAAAGTAGTATGCGCGCCAACTCAACCCGCATGGTGCATGGAAGCGTCGGCCATCTTCCAGCATGTCGCGACGAAAGATGAGTTGCCACAACATCGAGTTCGAGTCTCCAGTCAACTCTAGCCACGACGAGCACACGACTGCGGACACCGCAAGGGATTGGGCGTCCAAGTAGCTGAAGATCTCGTTCGACACCTGCATTCACATCGTTGGAATCGGATAGATCTGAATATATAATATGGTCAGATTTTTACCTCGGACGGCATGGAGGCAAGGGTGAGCGATGCCTTGCACCGACGCTGACGCTGTGCATACATGACACACGAGAAGGTATCCATGGGCGGTGACGATGATGATGCCACGAGTGAAGACGACGAGAAAGCCGCCTTTTTCTTGGACGGTTGTGTACACAAGAACCCAAACAGGAACAGACACATCATGAGGAACGCCGACGAGAAGCGATAGCCGGATGCATCGTTCACAGCTTGGTACTCCAAGGAGGACACATAGACTCGAGAAGCCTCCATGCACGGAAGTGCCATCAACAAGGCAACGAATGCTACCGTCTTCAGCAAGTCGGTAACGGCCCCGCAACAACTTGTACAGTTCATTTTCAGATCTGCGACTTTGCGACGTATAGTAACCGAGAACCTTGATAGCTACTATTAGTAGTACTAGTTTAAAACTTGGAACTTGTAGGATGTCCTCCAAATCCTTCAGTAGTAATACTAGTGGAACACTTAGCAAGTGGTCCAATTCGGTGAGCCATGTTGAACATGGGATTCTGTCCGTTTAATGCGTAAAATTTATCCGGCATGCTCACGTCAACAACAATACGGAAATTCACTGGTGTTAACCGGATGTCGTGCGAACGTTGAGTTCAGAGTACTGTAACTTTACAGTTAGCGCTGTCGCTACCACAATATGAGTAACCGGCAGAGTTCCACAGGTTCAAGGCATTTGACTTGCAAGGTTCGTTGGCAAGTTAGTCGACTTGTGTGGCCGAAAGGTTTGCATTTACTCTACCAGTACAAGGTACAGATAGTTAACGTACTAACAGCAACAAATGAGAGTTGGTGGACGACTGCTTCGCCACAGGTTAGTACACCCACACTTGGTCGACTGCCACCTTTGCAGGTCGCACGACATCAAGGGCCATCCACACCGTTATTGTGTCCATGGCAGCCGCCACGACGTCTTGTATCCACCACTTCCACTTCCACAACGCTAACGGCACCTGCACACGGCGTTCGACTTGACTCAGCCGCGTGTATTGCTCCATAGCTTTTCGTCGATCAGCCGGCACCCCAAGTCCCATTTCATGCATGTACCCCATGGAAAAAAGCGCAGACGAGACGAACACGTATGCGCTCGTGGACGTTTGGAATTTGGCTTGAGACGTCAGGGTCGCATACAGGGTCATGGCCTCGGCATAATCCGCCCTGGCGTACGACGCATGAGCGAGTTCGAGGTGGGCATAGGCACTGCCTTGTCGCGCGGCTTGTCGGAGTAAGCTCAGGTACACGTCACGGTCTACACGTATACAGTGAACCGCGAAAAGAATACGGATGTGTACATACTCGGTTCGGAGACGTAGCCCTGTTGGATTAAGAAGGCGGCGTTGGTTTGGGCAACTTCATTCCCTTCTTCTGCCACAAGTCGGTACAAGTAGTACGCGGACGTATACTCTCTGGCTTGAAACTTGGTCAGGGCAACATCTAAAAGCGGCACTGGGACGCTCTCCGCCACCCGTTTGTAGAGGGCGACAACCTTCGTGCACTTTGCCTCAAACGACGACGCAAGGTCGTTGGTTCGTTCGACAATCTCGGCATATTTGAAGGTAGCGACGACATGGCCAGACATCGACGCGGCTTCGAAATACCGACGGGCTTGCTGGGGGGCGATCGACGTCAGAAGCGTCGCGGCGTGGTAGATGCCATTCAAGTGACCCAACTTGGACGCTGCTTGGAAATAGTGTAACGCGAGGCGGGTGTCCGATGGCAGACTGAGCAGCCCGAGGCCATGCAGAGCTTCCGCGTCACCGGGAGGGGCCATGAGAAAGTACTCGCGAGCTTTGATGGAATTGATAGCCACTCCCCATCCGTGCGCGTACATACGGCCCAAATGAGCAGCAGCCCCGAGATGCCCCCAAGCCAACGCTTGCGACAACAACTTTCGAACAAACGTGTAGTCTGGCGGCGACGGTTGAGCCAACAACAACTTGGCGATGCGATACAAGGTCGCGCCATTCTTGGTCTTTGAGGCCGCGGCTGCCAAGAAGATCAACTTGTTGAAGTCGTGTGCGGTGGAATACCGAGCGTCGTCCTGCAGCTCGGGCAAGCGAGGGTACGAAGGCAGGTTGGCATGGATGTCATACGTGGAGGCAACGATGGACGCGGCTCGCTTGTAGTAGACCAACGCATGGGCGCACGACCGAGGGACCCCTTGTCCAAACATGGCGCGGTAGCCAAGTGTTTTGGACGCGGGGGCGTTCCCGGCGGTGGAGGCAAAATGGTCGTGGAGAATCGATGTAGCCAGGCTGAGGTTGGTCGACGGATGGGGAAATCCCACTGCGTGCATGAGTGCGACGTGGTGCTGGGCACTAGGATTGCCGAGGCGAGCACTGCGTTTGATGAAGTCGACGCTGTCGCCGTGGGGGAAGGACAGTTCACCGAGAGCAAAGAGGGCGTCACCTGTGGCGGCCCAGTCGCCCATCGTGACGACAGCCATGTACAATGCCGTGGCATTCGCGATGTCCACATTCCTACAACAATGTCAAATTCTCAAAGCATCGTCTTGCTGATATACCGTTGGAGGTGGGCGTCGCGGAGCATAGCGACTGCGGCTGGATTACTGGGCAAGTTCCATGAAGCAGATGCAGATGCAAGGAACGCCACAAGCCCGACAAGGCGCAAGCCGCAGGTCGACATGGTACCGTGGCAAAACAAGATTCCATGCATAAGCCATACCGGTAGGGTGGGTTGACTCTGCCGCAGTCGCGGCCTGTCAATAAAAATTGTACTAGTATTACAAGTACTAGTATTTTGTAACTGTTACGAAACTGCCACTGAACACTACATCAAACACTATTAAAATATATTGATTTTACTAAGTCGGGGGGCAAAACGAATACTATTAATAATATTAATTGAGACAAGTTCTTGATAGTTAACGAAGTTCTTTGGCAGCACGAGCGTACTATTAACGTGGATGAACTCGCCCACAGTTGTACTTCAGAAATATAATTCAACTTGAGGTTGAATTGCGATTCAACATTAAGCCAATCACAGCTCTACCGCTCGACAGACCTTATTGGAGTAAATCTTGCAATCAAACACCTTTCATTGGGCTATTCAAAATAATCTGATGCACGAATTTCAAAATCTGACCATGTCAAAGGGCACGCAGTCTCGACGACGTGCGCCACCTCGACGCAAGCCGCTGTTGAAACCGTACCGTCGTTCAACCCTGCTTGCAAAGCGAAAGCAACAGGGTTACACTATTGGGACAATAAAGGCTCTCTTACAGAAGCACTCCACGCTCGGGCCATGTAGTAGCGACCGCGAGTTCGCGCGAAAAGAGAACGTTCCCATCGCCACCCTACGAGGATGGCTGGCTAGAAAGGAGGAGTTCCTCCAGTCCAAGAAGCATACCAGCAACGCCACTCTCAGTGGCCATGGCCACAGCGAGGCGGTGGACTTCGGCGACGCACTGGCCAGCTTCATGGACAGCGTCCGCGACCACGAGAAGTTTTTGACGACAGCGCACCTAGTGACATGGCTGAAGAACCATCAACCTGCCTGGCTTGACTCTTACCTGGAAGGCAAGGTGGATCCGTCACGAGCGTACAAGGCACTCCTGGGATGGTGCCAAGACTTTGCGCACCGCCACGGGTTCTCGCAGCGCGTACCCTGTGCGTCCAAACGGACGCAGGAGGACTTGCAGGCCACGCGCATTGAGTACGCACAATCGTTCTGGTCCAGGTACGGTGCCTACGACCGCGGGAATATCATCAACATCGACGAAACTGGAGTACATTATGACATGCCGCCACGTCGTACATGGGCACGAATCGGGAAGTCGGCCAAAGTTGATCGCCAGCAGAAGCACTCTGACCGGGTGACCGCCGTCCTTGCCATACGCGCAGATGGTGAGATTGTGTTCATGATCGGTACTTACGTGTCGTGTAGGACGCAAATTGCCTCCCTGCATCATCGTGCGTGGTCAGCCTGGCGGTCCTGTGGAGCAGGACGAGTTGCCGACGTATCCACGTGACGCAATCTACGCTGTCCAAGAGAATGCGTGGATGGATGAGCGAGTGTGGGACATCTACCTGCGCGAGCTCGTCCAGTACGAGATCGAGGGACCGTCTGTGGTGGTGGTCGACAACCTGTCGGCGCATGTCACACCTGCGGCGTGCGAGTTAGTCCGTGGCGACTTATACAGTGTACTGGAAGAGCTGCCAGCGAACGCAACTAGTACCGTTCAACCGCTTGATGTTGGTGTGATGGGGCCCTTTAAGGCCAAGTGCCGCACCGAGTGGCTGCACGAGGTAAAGGTTACAACAGCTGCAGAGAAACGGTTGGCGATGGTGAAAAGAATTTTGAAAGTATGGGAGTCTATTCCACCAGCGATGGTTATTCGCTCGTTTGATAAGGCTATTCCTTGTGATGAGTCGTAATATACCTCTTTGGTTGTGTGTTCGTTGTTGGAGGTTTCCCGGGTATAAACCCCCTCCTGAATCCATTGCGCATGTCCATGAGTCCAAATTCGTTGATTTTCGATTTGGTGCGACATTTCCGAGTGTCACGTTACAACACCTTGTGATTGGCTTAAATCCTCGGACCTTCCCTGTTTTGCAACAATACAAATTTTGTCCAACTGTGTGGACCTCTCATACAATAGCCAAGATAAAAGTCAAGTACAACTGTGGGCGAGTTCATCCTCGGTTCTCTGTACGCATTAGTTGGCATGTTGCGAAACAATTACCAACACTCCTAAATAGTGTCAATGATGGGCGATCCACTACTATTTAGTGTCCACATCTCATATCAAAACTGGTGGTATACTACTATTAATAGTAGCACTTCTACGGTCGACATAACTGTTACTATTAATATAATACTACTAGTAGTACTTCTCCAAACACTAAAACACATCTTTTTTGTCGAACACCTAAACTTTTCACAGTTGTCAGTTGCAAAAATGCGGTATTTTTTTCGGTTGATGGACATTCCTTGTGTCATACTGTAGTCAAGTTGTTCTCAAATTCTCATACTTCCATAATTTATTTCAATTCTCATTACATACGAGTAGATATTTTAAAAAACAATTATCATCTCCAATGCACGACTTCGATTACACGACACATTCCCGAATTTGCTTTCATCATGTCAAGCGACCAAGAACCAACGTGGATCGTCGTGGTGTCCAACCTCCGAGCCACTGACCTCCCCGTCGCCGACCCGTCCTTCTTGGGAGGCAGCAGCGATCCGTACCTGACGTTTGTGTGCATGGAACAGGTCAAGGCCACGCCCTGCCTCCCTTCGACGCTCAATCCCGTATGGCACGAAGAAAAGTTCCAGTTCACGTTGACAGGCACAAGCTTGAACGGCTCGACGTCCCTCTTCGTCAAGGTGTGGGATAGCGATGTTATCTCGAAGGATGATTTGATCGGCACCGTCGAGATTCCGCTGGGGTCGTTCCCTCGCGGCCGGCAACCGAACGCTAACGAATGCACGTTTCCTATCGTCCTCGACGCTGATTTTATCAAGCAGCGCGTGTCCCCTCAACTGCATGTGAAGATCGAAATCTTATCTCAAGCTGAATCCTTGGAAGAAATCACCCACGAAGTGTGGGAAAACGAGCGCGCCAGTCGTGGATTGACTGGAGTGAAGTGGAGCTACACCAACCTCCAAGCGAACGAACGCAAGCACTGGAGCACGGACCACGGTCGCCTCTCGTCCGTGAAATTTGACGCCATCACGCCATCTGTGCCCAAAGGATACACTGCTGGGTCCTGGCACTACGTCAAAGCCCTCGGCGACGACCAAGGCTGGGTGTACGCGTCGTCGTTCAATGGGCCTTGGTACAAGAAGCAAAGCCTCCGCACGAGCGTGCGACGACGGCGGTGGTTGAACTCGTTTGTGAAGGAGCCCACGTTGGACGACAACGAGTTTTAACGAGCACATTGCAATCTACTTTTTATTCGAATTTGTCAATCCAAGGCTTGCGCAGGCACTTGGACGCATCGATACGATGTTGTCATGGGCGAAATGCTGAGAGAGCTGATTGTGATGCTGTCGTAGCTTCAACGGTACTGCACCGTAGTATCTGGTATTCGGCACTGATCTGCCCCATGAAATATAAATAACCGTGAATATAATTATATAAATTACTGTATTAATCTCACAGTCAAATCAATTGTTGCAATGGAAAAATTAAAGAAATTGCTCAAATGTCAATCACATGGTGCGAAGGTACGACAAATATATCCGATTGGGAGATTCACACTATTTGATGGTCAGTGTGGTTGGAAATCTCACACTATTTGGCGAGTTTGGTCAAAAGCTTCACACTATTTGATGGTCCTGACAATTTGGAGCACTTGGAGATCATCCACATTGCTTGGTGAGTTTGCACGAGTGGTGAGATGTTTACTTGGGGCCATTCACACACAATTTGGCTAACTTAACGTTTAAGTCTATCATATGCGCCTTGGGATATCAGAGTAAGTAAACTCCACACATTTCAAGTATCGATGCAATGGCTGGGCTCCTTCGCGGTGCGTGCCAGTATTAATTCATACTCGCAGTGGTATTGGTGAGATATTGCCTACAATGGCCGTAAGAAAGGCGTGTCGCAGATCCTGCCAATCAGACGTGTCGTCAGCTCCCTTCACTTTGACAGCCTTCGTCCGCCATCATGGGGCTGGTCACGAGCTATTGCTGCGCGCCCGACGACGAGCCGCATCTGTTTCGACGCAAACGTCCGGGTAAGATCATAAGCATCCGATCCTGGCGAGAGGACACATGGTGGTTGTTGTAGCATTGGACAAGAATGCCCGGGTGATCCGCATCGTGCTGGAGAAAGCGACGGACCTCCCGGCGTCAGATCTGGAAGCGTTGGGCGGCAAGAGCGACCCGTACGTGTCGTTCCAGTTTGGCAAGCAGCGTCGACGCACCGACGTCATCGACAACACTCTCAACCCGGTGTGGAAGCACCAGGAGTACGAGTTTGTCGTGTCGGACATTGAAGTGGCGCAGCACAAGGTGCTCAAAATCCGCGTGATGGACTACGACGCCGCGTCGGCCGACGATCTGCTCGGAGACCTCGAGTTCGACATGACCCAGTGGGACGGGGCCACGCGCCTCGCCGACGCCAAGTTGCAGCCGTATGCTCTCCGAACGCCGTCGTCGTTCGACTTCCAAAACGTCGCGCCCCACGTGCACATGTCCATCTGCTTCCTCTCTCCGTGGGAGGCGGCTGCGCGGCTGACGGAAGAGATCTGGGAGAACGAGCGCTGGCTCACGACCACCCAATCTTGGTCCAAGAACAACTTGACGTACGGAGACAAGCACGCGTGGACGTCCAGCAACGGCAAGCAGGCCGGCGCGGCGTTCAAGGATGCTCTTCCCGACATCCCCGACGGGTATACGCAGGCTGGGCAGTGGCAGTTTGACATTTCGCACGGAGACAGCAACGGATGGGTGTATGCGACGACGTTTTCAGGCCCGTGGCGCAAAGAGCGAGGCGCGCTGCACCGCGTGCGGCGCCGATTGTGGGTGAACCACTACAACCGGAACCCCGAAACGGTGGCCCCTGCTGCGTTTTAACGACGTCGACTACTATAATTGCATGGATTGGGTGGATTCGTTATGTTATTGTGGTGCATTGGGGACATGCATGCATCAAGCGTCTTCCAAACGGGTTTCGCAGTCAAGGCACTGTAACATATGTCATCATTAAAGAATCACTTTCGCCGTTGCCGAGAGATCGATCCCGTGAGCTCGGGATGACGCTGACTGAATCGTTGGTACCATCCGCGTCCAATGTCACGAGCAACGCCGGTGTGCAATAACACGATCTGCCGTGCCTTAATCAATACATCATGTCTTGTCACTGGACACCCAGCCCGCTGCATCGAAGCAACCCACGCCACGACGTCGTCTTCGACGTCATTTGGTATCAACGGCTTTGGTCCGCATTTGTTGCGCTTGATCGCTTCGGAGCTGGTAGCGGCTTTCAAGAACTTGAATAAGGTAGTTCGCTTCACTTGAGAGCTTCGAACGACTGCTGCCTTGGACTCGCCGCGCAGGACGCGTTGCACGGCTTCTTCAATCTGCTCAATCGTTGCGACCATGTGAAAAATGCCCTCGACAAATTCGGCGAACAATTTCGCGGGAATAAAAATGGGTGATTTTTCATTTGAACTGCAAGTGTAATAAAGCTGACGCGAATATTATCACTACCAATCAATGACGGTTAAACCAAGTGAGAGCAATCGGATTGGCTAAATCTCGATCGTTCGGACATTTGATGCTGTCAAAATTCGCACCTTTCAAATGTCTCGCAGTTCAGTCGTATACTACCGGTAGTAACTTGTAACTTGTTCCACTCAAGGACTATTACCGGTAGTAAGGAACAACTGAAGTTTCCTAGTCGAGTTTCCTTTGGCATGAAGTAACTACTCAACCACCCTATCGATAATGCGATGCCAATATGCATGCCTCGGCTTAGTACGACATGGAAAATAGATTGTTGGAGTTACGTAAACGGAACTGGCTGCTCGTCGCGTTCATAGTCTTCAAACCCAAGGACTTTGTCTGCAAAAACACTTGATGAAAGCGAGATGGTCGTTTCAACCAGGTCGGCTTCGTCCCCCAGTAAAGCGTGCATACACGACGTCAGTTCGTCCTCGGTCATGGGCTCCCCCTACGCCAACAAATACCCAAAGTACAATAACTACTGCTACGCCCCTTGAACCACAACAACTTGTCATACCATTGTGAGCAACTTGGCCTTCAAGTCGGCCCACTTTAATGTTGGCCCCTTGTGGCCACTCAACACGTCGAACGCGTCGTCGATTTGCTTCTTCCCAATGCCAAACACGGGCCGGTGGTTGGTGTACAGCTTCACAAACGCAGTCAGGTCCACCACGTCGACCGTCTTGGTCGTTTCCGTGAACCGGCTGTACTTGACTTCGCTGCACATGTTTTGAATCTCGAGTTCCGTGGGGTAATACCCCAGCGCGCGCATCAAGTGGGGGATCTCGAGCAGCGGAATGTGGTGCGCAATATCCCGCGCTGCCGTCGCGTTTTCCCCTTGCGTACGCAACTGGGCAAAGTAAAAGTAGTCGACGATTTCGCTGTAAAATGCCCCTTGCACGCCCCCTTCCAGCAGCGACGCGAACGGCTCCATGCCCGCGCCCCCCTGGGCTTCCAGTGCATCCAGAGCCCGGGGGTTCACATCCCACAAGTTGACAATCATGTCCTTACCCCCCGCCGTGATAAAGTACTTGCCGTCGAAACTCACCGCCACGTTCGAAATCCGACCGGCATGCGCAATCAGCCCCATCGATTTGTGGGGATTCCCATCCAGCGGCAGCTTGAGCACCCCCACCACCTACAACCAGCACCAAAGGCCATAATACGACTCGGCTGTACAGTGTGTGTTTTGTACTTGCCTTGTCGTGGGTACTGTAGGCGCAGTACCGGCCACTGGTCTTGTTTTCCTTCGCCAGCTTGTCGGTCGGTATAGCCAGCACCCGGTTCAGTGGCCCACCATAGGTGGGATGGAGCGTGGTCTTTCGACACGTTTTGTTGTTGGCGTTCCATTGCTTGAACTTGTACTCGTCGTTGGCAATGACCACTAGGTCTTCGTGCACGCCAGGCATGTCGGGGTGCCAAAAGAAAGTCGTGGGGGTCGCGGACTGCTCAATCTTTTGTGGGGGCGCGTTCAATATGATGCCGTCCATGACGCTGGACCGACTGAGACTGTAGTCGACGAGCATCTTGTCTTCGCCCACAGTCACAAGCAGCGCCTGCTGGTCCGGGGACATGCCAAACTCGAGCCCCGTGATCGGTTTCGTGTGGCTCTTGCATCGACCAATGTACGACCACAGGTCCGTCGTGTCCAATTCGTCGGCGTCCGTGGCCACCATCGCCTTGCTGCGCCACAAGTACAAGTAATTGTGCGCGTCAATTGCCGCAATAAACGACCCGTCCGCGGCGATCTTGACGTCCACAATCGCGTTCTATGTGTGCAATGTACCGTTGGTGATAGTGCCCTTGGAACATCAAGACCAACATTCATGACAACGGAGATTGCCATGCCCGTACCTTGGCTTGCCGAAACGTTGTGACATCCTCCAGCGTTGTCGCGCTGATAATTTTGATAGTACCGTTGGTGAACCCGACCAAGAGATGCTTTCCGGACGGATGGTACGTCAGGCACTGCGGGCGGAGCTTGTCGCGGTCGAAACTGCGTAACATAACGAGTCGTTTGCCGACGTAGTCCCACAATTGAATCGCGCCAGAGTAGCAGCTCACGGCGATGTGGTTGCTGGCAGGATGCGCCGCCAGCCCGTGGATTTCGTCGTTGATGCCTTGCATGAGTAGCGTCCCGCGGCGCTTTTCCACGTCGTACTCGTCGTGGATACTGGGGGTGATGCCAAGAATGAACGCACCTACTCATGAGCTAAATTTAAATAGCCACACTTGAATACATATCCAGGTTACTGTGCTCTTTTCGCACGCGATATCAAGAGCGCGCTGCAGACAACACACAAAACAGCGATTCGACACAATTGCACACACGAACGCTTCTTAGCATTGCAATAAATACCACAACCGACCGCGAGTGCAATCACAATAAACAAGGAAGAGCCATCGGCAATAGAAACGTACTGGACGTGGACACGATGAACTCTGGCACAGTAAACACGTCGGCAGATGCCGGGGCCGCGTCGACATTGGCGAAGGACACGGCCATGACGGGACCGGCGCAAAGGTCTTCGAACCACGCGACGAGGCGAAAGTCAAAGTCGTAGAACCGGACGGCGCCGTCCGCACACCCCATGACCAAGTACCCGTCCATGTCGGCTAGGAAGTTGACGGCTACTGGTTTGTCGTGGCCGGTGACTCTCACGATTTTGATTGCTTTCTTGTCTGCGTGTATCGTGGTGGCGTTGGCTTTGACGGGCGCGGCGTCCCACAAGATGAGGTCGCCGTCGACGGTGGCGGTGATGGCCTGCGACGAGTCGGGCACGAACAAAGACTGCGTGAACGCGCCGATGGTTTGCTTAAAGTCCTTTTGGGACAGCGGTGGCGAGTAAAACTGCAGCTGGTGCGCCGCCCAATTCCAAAAGATCACGCGCTGCGCGCCGTTGGTCATGAGTTCGCGGACGTCGTATGTGTTGAAGCGCACGCATGTCTGGACATCTTCGGTTGTCACCGCTACAAATTTCGCAGTTGGCACCTAAAGCCACAACGAAACTAGGCGGTGATGATGCATCATGTACCAGCGACGTAGAGCGCGTCATCGCGGGCGACGGTCCATTCCCACAGCTTGATCTCTTGGGCGTGTTCTTTAACATTGGCTTTGTCCATGGCGATGGACAGCGTCACGATGAACATGGCGTCGGGGGACATGTCGAGGCACTGGACGCCGTCGGAATGCGGGTTGAAGATGGTTTTAATGGGGTTGCCTGTCGTAGCGTCCCATACGACAAGCATCGAATCTTGGCCTCGATCGGCCGTGACGATCCAACGCTTGTCTTCACTCACGGCACAGCACGATATGGGGTTGCAGTGGCCTTGGAGGAGCTTTTGGGTGCGGTTCGCATAGTTGTAGATTACGCCAGTGTGCCCCGCCGTGTAAAAGATGGCATGGACAGTATCATCGGACAAACTATGCACCCCCCCCACGATGTCTTTGTTGAAGCCAAACGACCACGACAAACTCAGCGCATTGTTGCCGCCACCGCCTGGCCCGTCCATAGGAATGTCCTTGTGGTTTCACATTTGACGAAGGGGTGCATCCGGATATTATCCGGGTTATTGAACAAAATTCAATTTGCTTGGTTTGACAGTGTTATTGCGATTTTCACATCGGTCAACATCGATGCAAGGACTTGGTCGTGGCTAACGTCGATGCAAGCACCTACAAGCAGTACCCGTTGTGGCAGCCGTATACGGTCACGGACAAAAGTGTGTTTTTGGTTACAGTAGGAGCATCAAAGGCTACAAGGGGGCTGTGGTTGATTGAGCGTTGATGGTATTGTCAAGTCGATTCGCAACACCAAATCGGCAGACAAACGATCGACCAATCAAAAACCAGATCACGAATCAAGTAGCCAATCAAATCCACTCTTCGACCATTTTAATACTATTGTCGAATTAGGAAATGACTGAAAATAGTGTGACATTGGACTATCACTAAATACAAAAGTTAGTTCAAGTACAGAATATCGATCGATAGATTTGGCGAATCAGCACAAAGTCCAAATTTTGGTTGAAGGACAAGAGTAATACTACGTAGTACTAGTACTAGGGAGTATCAAGTTACTTCGCCACAAATTTGATTTTTAATGCCGGTAATTGCGCTGACCCGGTTTGACAGCAACAACGCACTACGCCGGAGTGTTCAGTGTTTGCTTCCAATTCCCGTCGTTAATCAAGAGCGTGAACATGACATTCAGATCGCGCTTTCCTCATAGTGCCATCAAGGCTATTGCTGCAGCCCATGCAGTACATGCTGCAAGCGCCGGGTGAGCCATTGTGAAATAAAGATGCTGTAGCCGGCGCTCGTAGATGCAGTGCTTTATCATCCATGGGTCTTGGAGCAAGTAACATCGTTCGATACGTTCAACCAACATCATCTCCCGATATATCCGGATGTGTCCCTTGGTAGATTCCCAAATAGGATATTAGGTTTGGTAGTGTTAGATTTAACGTTAACATTAAGCTTAGGATACATTCGGTGATTGCATGTCAGTAAACAGCGCAGGACTGATCATTAAGCTTGACATCATTCAGTATAACGTAAAATGCCAATTTATGACACACAACTTTCATTTGAACCGCGAAGTATAATTTTGAGTTCCAATTTACTCATAAGTCGTATATCTTAACCTTCCTTTTTGTATGTATGATTAGTGAGCAGAAGTTCATAAGTTATATTTCACTGGATGATTGATTGGTGAATATTCAAATTACGATATTTGTTTGGTGGATTTACAGTACCTAAATTGGCACTTTACGTTAGCTTGTTACCGCCCTTGCTTGCAACGGTGAGATGGGCTGTGTACCATATTTGTACTTGAAGTAACCGTTCACGGCTCAGCTGATCCATATGTGTCAACCAATACCCTAACGGACTTGGACTAGAGCTCTATATGGTCGTGGCAGTTGCACATAGTGGGGCTTTTATAACAAAACGTACTTTATACGAAGTACATTACACTTCCCACGTGTGTGCTGCATGTTTCAGGTGATTATTGGCAAATGATTTAATTGTATACATTAATGCAGCCTGAGTTCGAAAGCCGGGATATAATTATTACCTTGCGAAGTGCAACTTGCACTTTTCATCCAGTGTCCTTTAAATTGTCACCAACGAGTTTCGCCAAGCTATTGGACAAAGTCGGCCGCACGCAGCACACTCAAGGCATGGCCGTGCGGGACTACCATTACACGGATGCAATCTCTCCATACACAGATTTCGACCGCCTCGATGATCTACATCTAAACCCCGACCTGTCGTCGCCCAGCTTGGACGAGACAATGAATCACATCGTTCAGGTCGAGTCCGCCAGGGCACGACGAGGAGTCTCAGCGACCACCACCCGAAGACCATCGCTGGATGCAGGTAGGTCTGATGAAAGGAGGTGGTTTCCAAGAAGACTCTTCCCCAAGCACTCGTTGTGGGACTCGAACGTGTTGTGGGCAGCGTTGGCGGCACTGGTGTTGGCCACGTCGTCGATGGCTGTCGTTGGTTTCACGCTACTGGCTCGTCCGTCGCCGTCATCGTTAGGCGTCCACTTCGCCTGCGTTGCCCCTCCAGGCGACAAGACCACAGCGTACCTCGACACGTTTCAGGACTCGCATGCAATTCTCGGGGCGCTCGTGCAGCTAGCCACGTTTTCCGTGCTCGGTCTCGTGTCGCTCTACGTGGGTATTCAATGCAGCTTTAGCCAGCAAAAGGTGATGTCCAACCCGCACAACTCCAACTTGAGTACGTCCGACGGTTCTATCTATTGGAGTTGTAAAACGTCGTTGCGACAGTGTCGGCGTTTGTGTTGCCGTGCTATGGCACGATCTGGTACACCGTGGCCGTGCTATCTGTGACAGAGATCGCAGTCATTGCATCCAGCCAAGTCGAATACGTTCAAGCGCATCGAAGGCCGTTCTGCATCGTTCTAAACCTGCCCAGCATGTGGTACATGCCCATTACTCGCACTTTTACATTCACATTTCATCCTAAATGACACAGGATTCGCCACCTCATTCCCCTGCTGATGCTTCAAAAGTCAGTGTCCCAGCGCGCCGTGCATCGCGCCATCGCCCTCTCTGGCATCTGTACGTCGGAACCATTTGGTTCTTGACCAACCTATCTACACATGACTGTAGTGACCGCCGCGGTCCTCAGCGTACTCGTCGAGCCCGACACTTTCCCGATTGTGTTTATCGTGTATCCAATCGCCGTCATGTTGCTAAGCGCGTTCGTCAAGTTTGTGCTGCACACGCGAGCATCGTTCGACTTGTACTTTTACTTTTTGCTCGTGTCATGTGTGGCCAATATATTGTATGCCCCAACTCTGGCGTCTTGCATGTGTTGATATAATTGATTCACGAGATGGATGCTAGACCCCCCGTGGTATGGCTCGCCGCAGCCGACGCTAGCACCCCCCACGTCGTCGTGATGCTTTCAATTGCGGCGCCTGTCGTCGATGGAGGCACCCTTGCTGCGGTCATGCTGACGTTGCGGGTACGTACGTAGTTCTATAGATAGATAGGTACATAGGTCCCGTTGGATTTATAGTTTTGGTCGGCAGGTGGACACTATGTACTGGCTTGGGCTAGACACTCCGTCGTCCAACACCAATGATCCTGCCAAACTCTACCTTCGCATGGTACGCGCTCAAGTTGTTGCCTTGTTGATGAGAACCGACACTAATTGCCGACTAGATAGCCGACCAAGGCATGGTGTCTTCGTTTTCAACGCGAACGTCCGTGTACGATGTACACTTTTTGATTGAAACGTTCAAACATGTAAGTGGCTACTTATGTGCGCCTGTATGTACTTGCTCATTATGTTTTGGCTTGGAGTGAACCTCGTGTGTATACTATATATATATATATATATATAACGTTATATGTAATTTCAAATATTACATGGCCATGCTGTCCAAGTCGTTGAGGCTAACTCCGTAAGATATGTTGTGGTTGTGTGTTATTCTAATATGTAAACTGCAGCGTTAGAATCAACACTGATAACGAGGAGTTTATAGCGATCCGATTGCAGAAAATCGACACAATCTACATTGAATTAGTGTATGACTTGAAATAGTGTGATTGACATGACCTATTATATATATATACAAAGTTCCGTACAATTTTTTTTGATGGATTTATCGAATAAATCGGCACGCATAAGTCCAACTATTACTATATGAATGCGTCCCTAGTCCAAATATACATAAGATATATATATAACATGAATGCGGCACTCGGAACGGTAGTGCATGGTGGACGTGTCTTCGTTGTCGTTGGAAGCCGTGGTGGCGCAGGGGTCGACGGCGGTGGTGCTGCGCGGCCGGCTGCAGCACACCCTCCTCCGGATACCTCAACCGGTCGCGATCAAGTTGTACACGACTTTATTCGTCACCGATGACGAAGTGCATTTGTTTTCCAAGGAAACAGCATGCAATGTCCAGTTGTCACATCCCAATATAGTGCGCTTCTTTGGGTACGTCCTTGCTTCTTCGAACTGCTAGTACTAGCACGTTTTGTATCGTATTTCTCCACCAAGATATATGTATATATATTTATCTCTCTACCAATATATATATAAATATTTATTTATCTCTCTACCAATATATATATAAATATTTATTTATCTCTCTACCTATATATATATATTTATCTCTCTACCAATATATATATTTATATTTATCTCTCTACCAATATATATATATATTTATCTCTCTACCTATATATATATATATTGGTAGAGAGATAAACGCGAACACCTGATTTGAATCGGACCCACTAATCATGATTGATAGACTGTGTGTGGTACCGCCGAGCGTTTGCTTGGTGTTTGAATTTTGCGATTTGGGGTCGCTCGAGTCGATTCTGCAATCTCAACGGAGATCGGGGGAGGGTTGGGACCTCCGCGTGAAGCTAAAAGCATGTGTGGATGCCTGTCGAGCAGTCGCATACCTCCACAGCTTCCAGCCCCCGCTGCTGCACCGGTATATACTGTACAGTAGAAGTAGTACCACATCCATAACTATGTATAGGACAAACAAGAGTTAGTGTTTATAAAGTATAATATTTATTTATTTATTGCCTTGCTTATACATCAGTTGGGTGGTAGGGACATCAAGACGGCGAATTATTTGCTGTCGTCGACGGACGGATTGCTCAAGCTGAGCGACTTTGGCGAATCCAATTTACTCGGCCCCAAGAACGACGGCACTATGACTGTTGTGGGCACCGTGGACTTTATGGTATGGCCATATATATATATATTGTTGTACGTGTATGTTGGGATAAAGACTTGTTTGGAGCTGGTTTGTAGGATGTACGACGCAGTATTGAATTTATTGATATGTGGTCCACTCTGTACATAGGCCCCTGAAATGATCATTGGCGGCAACACCAAGAGCGCTGTGTACGGCCCTGCCGCCGACGTGTACAGCTTGACTGTGACACTGTGGCATATTTTGGTGCCTGGGGAGGCGCCGTGGCGGGGCCGGTCGCACTTCGACGTGTACACGGAGATCATCCAAGGCCAGCGACCCCGACTGCCGCCCGACCTCCCCCCCGGCTGCGTCGAGCTGCTCGAGTCCGGGTGGTGTCCTCAACCTCACGACCGACAGCCCATCGATGTCATGGTCCAGCGCGTGCTCGAGTTGTACAGACCCTTTGCCCAACAAGATATGGCACCTCGACAAGTCAACCGATCTGCGTCCAAGCGACGAAGCAGTGTCCTCGCATCATCCTTTCTGTCCAAGCAAAACACAACCCCACCCGAATCAGAATGAACAAAAAGAATTAATTATTTACCTACTATGTACTTACTATATCAGTTTGTGACATGCGACGAGTGTATTCTTTTGCAAATCGTGTATTGTGCATTGTACTACCATTCTGCCAGTGTTTTTCGACACTCCAACGTTTTTACCTAAAACAACCTGACAATTGCTCTAAAACAAAGCAAATCGAACGATCTGTCATTATAAAATCACCACTAATTAGAGTATGGAATTACGATTAATAAAAGGAGATTGGTGCTTCGTTTTATTGTGAAGCGAAGCAGTACAGTACAGTGGGACTATTACTACTACGAGTATTAGTACGACATGTCAGTTGGCCTAATAGAGCCAGTTGGCTAATACTACGTCGTAACGTTATTAATAGTACTATTAATACTTCGAGTAGTACTTCCGAAGTAGTAGTACGTACTAGTATTTAATACTATTAATAGTACTATTAATAGTATTAATATTAATAACGTTAGTACCAAAGTTTCTAATAGTCTATCCAATCATAATCGAGAGCTTTTAGGCCATTCCGGGCCACACTTATGATTGGTTTAAATAAGCCAATCATATCAGTTCATCTGGCCAGCTGTACCAGTACGTACCGTAGATCAATGTCTAAATTTATGCGGTCGAGGTGGATGCTATCATAACAGTTGCAAGCTTTCAAAAGTACTGGTTGGTGATTTCCAGGAAACTCTGAGCTGGTAATGCGATTGATGCACCCTTATATAAGTATTTGGATCTACGTGGTGGAGGCGAAGGAACACATGCAGAGACGCATCGAGAAGAATATATTGCTACACGTTTGAATAAATAGGTCAGCTGTCTGGAACAGCGTTATGCGGCAGTGGCCAACGAGATGAATCGTTGCTGGTGGCTCTTGCTTCGCTGCCGCTTGATCTTGACGACGTCTGTGGTACTGGACCGCCGGGCCGTGGACGATCGGTTCACTGTCGTCTTGGGTTTGAGCTGTTGGGTCATCACAGCAGCCGTGAGATCGGACTCGCTGCGAGATCGAACTCGTTGCAGCGTCGGCTTGGGTTTGGTCAGGATGTACACAGACGACTCGGAGTGGCGCGAGTCCAGATCCACCTCCACATACATGTCTTCCGTGGTTTGCTTTTGAGGCTTGCGAAAGTTCTTCAGGCCATGGAGTGGGTCGTAGTACCCCGGTAGGGCATGGAACGTGCCAGCAAACGGGTTTTGGCGCAGCTTCTTGCGCATTTCGAGCTCGGGGGTAAACACGATGTCGCCTGCAAAGTACGCGGCGCCGCGGTTGCCTGCGCTCGGGGCATGGTGGAAGGACCCGACGAACGGATTGTACGACGGCAGCTGTGCAAACACTTCTTGGCGCATGCTATTGTTGAAATGGAAAAGTGACAAGGATGTCGGTGCAGCATGCCAGGTTGAAGTTGGGTGGCGCATGCATGTGCAACGCCGTGAATTCGTCAGCAATGGATTGCATTGGTTAAAATGTAGCCAATCAAACGCGAGAAAACTACCAACTCGATCCAAATCTTGCAAGGATCAGTTGAAGAAGGAAGATTGCACTTGGGGTTGGGCCTGCTTTAACAGCCAAGCGCATGTTGGGTGCCATGACGTCGGATGTGGTGGGGATATAGCCAAGGATCAAGCGACGATACGCGTGTAAAGACACACGCCCAGAAGGCTATGAAACGCTCCCAACGGTGCAAAACACGGGAAAAGCATATGTGCCGTGAACGGTATAGTGTAACACCAGTACAGATCCAAGCATAAGAAATTCCAAAATTCAAACACAATAGGTTGAATGCACGATAAAGACGAGGACACGTTGTGAACCAGCCTTCTCCTTCTTCCATCAGGTTTGTTCCTTTGCTAAACATGAGGGTGCAGATGATATGGGAAGTTGAACTTTGGTAGACTCATGTTGCACATTGAGACTTGTGTAGCCATCACACCCACAACCGCGCAAGCGTCCCACAAGGAATTCCCTGAGAGCCACGGTTCCCCGTTTGCTTACGTATGAACCTGTAGCTCTGAAAACTCGGAGCCCCCGGACCCCTTGTGTTGCTATTCCCGGGGTTACGTGCATTGCCAGTGGTTAGCTACAGTAACCACATAAAGGCACTTTACCCCTACCTGCAATGTGTTGCATTGGTTTACACTGCAATTGACTATGACTTAATAAGAACAAGTGAAAAGGTTGCGTAAGCAACTGTTGCTAACAAAGATAACTTACTGTACCGTACAGTACATGAATGGTTGGTTGGATTTGATGATTGGAGTCTTGCGATCGATCAAGATGTACTAACTTAGTATAGGTTTGTGCTGGCGTCGCTGCAGTTCACGAATTGGTACAATTGTTGATGGCGGGGGCTGACGATTTCATAGTTCAACGTACCTTTAGTCTGTAAACATGTACAGTGTACGTGAAGAGCGCAGAGCTTTGACACTTTCATTGCGGCATTGCTTCCAACTCGCCTTTGCCTAGTTGAATCATGGAGAGACCTGTACGTACGTACACCAGTGGTATGGTGTCAAATGTCCAAGATTCCGTGGTGCTGCGTTCATGCAGCATGCACATGATGTCATGCTACACGTCACGAGCAGGGTTAAAGAGGGCGCATAATACCTAGGGTACATATTGTACATAGCGACGGCAATTGAAGAACATCACATTCAGTGTATGCGGAGCCTCCTGAACTGGCCCCTTTGACTTTCTTTGTGCCCAAAGTCAATCGATCGTGAAATCAAGCAACAAGCTGTGAAACAAATACCCTGCGTTTGAATTTGGAAAAAATATATTTAAAATGCTTTTCAAATGTTTGGCAATGTTGGTGGCTTGGCTGAAACGTTAGCCAATCGAAATGCAGTGTTACGCTAGAACCGAATCCGAGCAGAGAGTGTCCTCCATGTCATCGGGCAGCGATGTACGTACAGTATGATGCTGTAGTCCTATCGAGGCTCATGTGCCGTAGGAGTTTGACGACCATTACACGACGTCCAGGAAGTCCAAGAAGGTCGCTGCGACGAAGGCGTTGGCTCCTTCGACTAAGGCAACTCCAACAAAGTCAAAGCCGTCGAAACGACCCAAGCAGGATGCGGACAACGGGGTCACGTGGGTCCGCGATGAGGAAGCTCCTTCCTGCCACATTTGCCTCGTCGGCTTCTCTCTCCTGAAGCGACGGCATCATTGCCGTCAATGCGGCAACGTAATATGCTCGACGTGCTCGCACTCCCATCTGGCAGACAGCAAACCTACCCGCGTATGCACCGCGTGCAACGACCGCCTGGTCGATGGCACCGTGGCTCCAGCAGCATCATCTTCGCGCCGTCCACCCACTTCCCAGCCCGCTCCTTCGGCTGGTGCCTTGCCATCATCCAGTAAATCCAAATCGAAGCCGCGACCGAGCGCCGCCGCCCCACCCTCTCGACCACCCACGCATCGTTTAAACGATGACATTGACGACTGGTTCATGGACGACAACAAGGGCCCCCCGCCTCCATCTGCTGGCATGCCACGACCTCCCACATCCTCGTCCCCTGCGACAACGTCTGCTCGGTCCAATGAACCCAAAGCCCACAACGCTGCTGCCCCTCCGTCCAAGCCGCTGCGGTTGGCCGACCTTGTGTTTGACGACACCCCCCTCATCGGGTCGGACGAGGACCTGTCCCCTCTGTCCACTCGACTCGGCGGCGGGAAGCCGTTCAAACCCACGCCGGCCTTTCATGCGACAGCGTATACGTCGTCGTCCACATATGCAGATCCGCACGTGCGAATGAAATATGCCAGCGCCATTGACATGACAGACGACTTTGACACCAACCAGTCGAGTCGTCCCCCCCGTACTGGCAATGGGCCCATGGTAACCTCCAGTTATACCAACGGGGGCAGCTCCGATCTCGAAGGGAGTCGACTGAGCGATGCGTTCTTAACAAATTACTGTGTGTCGTCGGCTGCGGCGGCCACGTCCCTGCCAATCACATCGTCCAGCCTGCGTAGTTCTCTGAGTTATGCTGGGTCCTCAGAGTTCACCAACGCCAAGTCAGCGACTCCTCCCATCACGTCAACAGACCAAGGACATCACGAGGGCGGGGGGTTTGCCGCCGCGATCCGGCGATTGTTTCGCGGAAATCGGGACAAATCAGTCCCCACCGCGGCACCTCTGGAACCCGCCAGTGCCCCCCCCCCCGTCGCAGCAGCACCAACAGTAATATCTACAATCGGAGCTCGTACATCGACTAGCTGGGCCCCCAACGAACCACCGCCACGTGCTAGCTATGTCAACAACCTCCAGCCGCATCCGTCTATTCCTGGCACAGCCCCATCCACCACCGACTATCGAAACGACCCCACTCCAAGTGGATTCCAAACCAACAACTTTCGGTTGCCATACGATGATAATGCCGACGACAACGGCGATGGTGGTATCAGGACCGACGAGCCGCTGCCCCCCCCTCTGTGGATTCGAGGCGGCGACTTCCGTGGCCATACCACCCAAGGCGAAGCCCCGCGAATGGATGGACTCGGGGGACGTGACGAGGTCTCCATGGTGGTGGCTACGAGATCCAGACGTGACACGTTCGACGACATCTTTGATGGCCCGCGCCAAGTCGTCGTGCCATCGGTCGTTCTTGCTGCTAAGACTGAACCAAGTCGAGTGCTAGAGGCGGCGGCAACGCGCGACCGTTTTGAAGCGCCTGCCGCCAGGGTACCTCCATCAGGGCAACAGAGCAACATGTACGACAACTTTGGCTCCCGTGGCGGCGGCGGCCAAGTGCTTCTAGTCGACAGGTTTGGTGGCACGGAAAGAACGGCGGGACCAAGTCGAGTGAACCAAAGCGATGACGATATATTTGGCGTGTCTGTGACCACCTCTAAGGATTACGAGTACGATCCGGTCACTGGAACGTACGTGGCCCCCGACGCACCGCCGCCACGGCGTCCTCCCCCCGGCCAAGCCACCTTCGCGCCCAACCATGTTGTGGTGGACATGACGTCGGCGACTGTGATTGTGGACAAATTGACGAGTTTGGAAGCCGAGTTGGCCGAGCTCAAGGCGCTACTTCGCGACCGACGGACTCCACGGCGCAGCAGCAATGCCGCCAGCATCTTTGACGATGATAATGACGATCATGCTGGGAACTTGGTCGTCCAGAAACCGAAGTCGTCGTCCCGTGTCGCCAAGTCCAAGCCGTCCCAGAGACCACCCAAGACACAAAAACACGACAACGCCGTCGGAACTCGACGAAGAGATTCGTTTGAAATGTTGTTTGAATCTCCAGACAAACTAGATACGTTGTACGGGAATGTTGGAGGACGGGGCAACGAGTCGAGCGGCGGCGACGACGACGACGACAATGAACAGCCGCCGAGACCCGTCAAGAAAGCCGCCGCATTAAACGATCGCACCACCATCCCCCCCCCCCGACGGCGTCCAGATCGAAGTGTTGACACGGAGGCAGCAGCTGTGACACTGCCCGCCAAACCCAAAAAGAGGAGCGACAGCATCGACGCTTTGTTTCAAGATATGGCCAACATGGACGACTTGTACTCCAAAGATAGTCAGTCTACTGGTGGCAATGATGATGATGAGCGCCGTCATTCAACGTTCAAAGGGACGGTAAACGAGTCGGTGGAGCAGCCAAGCTACGGCACGTCGAATCAATCGACGACCAAACAGTTGTCATCTCAAGCGTTCGAACGACAAGCGGATGGCGCACGGATTCGCCGAGTTGTGAACATGGACGATCCATTTGCATCCGACCCAGAGGACAACCTAGACGACAACGCGCCGTTGCCGAGTTTGAAACGACTTGGCAAAGGTCGTGTGAACACTGTCAAGACAGCAAGCAAGACCCAAGTGGCTACAGAACGTGAGACCGAAGTGATGGCTGTGACGGCAGTTGGCGACGGAACCCCCCGCGTCATGACGGCCGACACGGCTCGACGACATCCGCGGGAGGAAGCGGAGGGGCCTGCAGCTCCCCCCACGCCCACATATGTAGACGTGATTGATGCTCTCTTTGAAACCAACGAGAAGAAAGCCCCACACAAACAAAAATTGTCCAAGCTTGATAACCCGTTGGCGACTGCTGGCTTGGAAGACAGGGCGTCGGGCGATATAAAGGCAGACGAGGATCGGGGGTTGGTATTGCGAGCCCCCACCTCGACATTGACCTACCCCAATGACAACGCGCCGCCGTCCTTGGTGGTCCCAGGTCGACAGTCCGTACAAGAAACGATGCAAAGCGCACTGGACAGCCAACTTTACGGTACACAAACGAGGACGGAGTGGCCAACCAACGCCCCGTTCGTTGTGGACGAAGTGGTCGAGCAACGTGCCACAGCTGAGTTTGCACTGACGGCCTCTTTCTCCGACGACGACAAAAAAGAAGATGAATACTTGCCGAGTCTCAAGCATCGGCAAAGTCCTCATAACGAAGTCAGTGTCGAGATTCAATCGAGTAGCGGCAGAATCGACGTGCATGACCCCAGCATTCGAGGGGGGAAACAGAACGAAGACGTTCAGGCGGGTGTGGATGGCTCGGTGAGGGAACTGTTGGATGGAGATTTGCCGGTATCTGGGGCATCCACGTATCCCGAAGGTTCTGTGGTCACCCCACCCACATATGTCATCAAGAAGAGTCTAAACTCGACGGATATCTTGACCAGTGAAATCAGCGACGACGTTCCAAGCACATCAGGCGACCAGATCGAAACGATGTCACATGTCCCGCGTGGTTCATTCGACCAGCCACCAGCATACAAATCAATGAGCTCGGACTTGGTTGAGGCGAAAACACAGTCACATCAAGCTCCGTTGCCACCCCCTTCTCGACCAGACAGTGTTCCTTCGTCCACGCCCAAGTTCCCTTTGGATGGTGATGACCGCCCCCCATCTGGTTCTATCGACGCTGAAGTAGACGATCTGTTTGCTGTGAAACCAAACAAGAAAAAACCAGCCAAGTCCGTGGCTCCTCTGCCTGTGGGTAAACAGCGGCACACTGCACCAGTGGACGTCGATGGCACGATCACGTTGGGCTTGACGGTAACTAGTATTACTATTGGTCCTACTACCGCTCTGTCACATCCTGGCAGCGCCGACGACCAACTCGATCCACTACTATCAGCTGTTGGTGTTAACGATGATGATGCCACGTGGCACGCTCTGCAGGAAGAACAGAAACAACGCAAGCACAACGCGTTGCGACGCCAGCGTCAATTGCAAAAGCAAAAGGCCAACCCAATAACTAGTACTACTACTAGTGCCAAAAAGTCAGCCCCCCGGAAACCGTCCAAGAAACCGCCGACGACGAGTAGTAGTAGTAGTAGTACTATTAATACTGTAGACGACTAATACTACTATACCATTTTAAATAGATACTACTTGCAAGATGATGTCAAAAGTGCAATGTCCTTGTGAGTGGGCCACAGTTCATGCACCATCTTGGCCATAGTGTCGACTGGGAGGCGGTCGCAGGGTTTCGGCGCCCACCCCCGACGCAGCAGGTCCAACCGGTCGGGCAGCGGCGGTCGATGGCCTTGGATGATCTCCGTGTACACGTCAAAGAGAGATCAGCCAGACCAGGGCGGGACCCCCAGCAAAATATGCCACAGCGCAATGGTCATCGAGTACACATCGGCGGGAGTGCCGTACACTGCCGACTTGGAGTTGCCACCAAGAATCATCTCTGGTGCCTATACTTTGTCGTTGATAATATAATACATGGAAAGATATAAAGCTACTACGACCAAATATTTAATTAAGTCAACATGAAAACATAACTCGATGGTGGCGTCTGCTAGAATTAACTTTTGTGACTTGTGGATCGAGGAATGGTTCTAACAAACACGTTTATGAACAAGAAAAAGATCAAATGACTAGACAACTCAGCCTAGCGGATCCAAATCATCAACAAGGTTAAAATATATGTATATATAACTTTTTTATGTACTAGTATATGATTTGTATAATCTGTACACCATATTCACCAGTCGACATCGAGTGAGTCGTCAGACAAGTCTAATTATGGTACTGCTGTATCTGATAAATAAAGACAATGCTCATTTTAACAATCGACAAAGATGCAGGAGTAGTAGTACCACAAAGTCCACCGACCCCACGATCGTCATCGTGTCATCGCTCCTTGGACCAAAATCGCTCAGTTTCAGCAACCCGTCGGATGCGAGGCAAGGTTGGCCATATTGATATCCCTGGATAAATAAATAAATAAATATATAAAGTGTACATCATGATAATTATTAATAGTTGGCGGCTACATGCATCGTTCGTTCTTCGATATATCTGTCCATACCGATGCAAGAGGGGCGGGTCAAAGTTATGGAGATATGCCAGCGCATGGCAAGCATCGACGCACATCGTCAGGCGAGTGGCCAAGTCCAAAGCGCGGCCGAGGTCCGTGTCCATCGCGACTTCGAGTGACCCCATTTCGCAAAAGTAAAAAATCTGGCAGATCGCAGGTGGGACCACACACAGGCTAGATATAGATACAACATCATCCACAAGTCAACCATGTCCAATCGATTCGAAACTCGTGGAGCCATCAGCAAATTCGAAGTGTCTTACGAGAATGGATGGATGCTCTCGAGGCACGCGCTGCACCACCGCCGTCGCGCCTTGGGCCACGACCGCTTCCAGCCGAAGCGATGAAAAGTCAATCATGTTCTAGCGGTACCCTCAATATATATGACTCCAATCCATAATTATACTACGTGGTAATACGATAATAATATTATAATAAGGAAAAAACAACGAATATAAAAAAAATACAATTCTACACAGAATGATACGTTATGGTAATATTGTGCTTTCAAGCGAAATTTTGGATTTTGGCGTGAATTCCTAAAAAACCACGCGTCGTTCGTAAATTGATTCGATTGGCGCTTTCAAAATTGCCCCGATTTGATTGGGTCAAACGACAGAAAATACATTTCCAGGACAAAGCAGATCGCACACCAAGTGGCAAGACGACGATGAGCACCATCGAGTCGGCAATCTCACAGCATGCAAGTCCGAACACAGTCATGCACTGTCTGCACGGCTACTTAATATCTTCCTGGGGATGAAGCGTCGACAGCTTGCTGCTGTGTACGGAAAGAACGAGGAAACCATCTCGAACTGGATCACCAAGTACGATGCAACCGGGTGTTGCTTCTCGCGCAAAGTGTCCGTGGTCGCCTTGCGAGTGTGTCGATGTGACGTCTGCGACGATCGCGTGTTCCAGGCTGGACTGTCGTGTGCGGTCATGGCTCGTCGAATGCTGGTTGAAGAATGGCGCGCAAAATGGACGTTCGATGGTTCGATAGTGTAAAGTCTTTAGCCAATCACACCGAGCTTTCGTAAATTGAGCCAATCAGACTCGTTCACAAACCGAATCACTGGCGTAATCCCACCCAAAATTTGTATCAAATCGACAATATCTTGTAATGACTATAGTGCAGTGAGTTCAATCTGCAATGGTTTTATTAGAAAACGTATTGATTGGCTGAACCATGCAGAAATGGGGGTTAGAATGGATTTTGATTGGCTAGTTCATTCTCAAATCGATTTGCCAAGTCTATTCGATTCTATTACGAACCAACTTGACAATATTAAATATAAATAGAATCCAAGGACCTCGAAGTATGATAATAACCTGTGTCACACTTCGAAGTAGAGTGGGCAGATATAAATATATATTTGGATTTACAGGTATTAATACTCCGACCCGTAGGAGCAATTCCAAGTTGGTCCTATTTAACTATAAATCTGACCGATGGAGTTGGTATTAGTCGTACTGCACATCTAAGACACAATTTTGTCTTAACACCTCGCTTGGACTAACATTGGTTGTTTGTGAACCCACAACACAAAGCTTCTGACCATCATTGCACGAGAGGGTCGCTGCAAACATAATGTACCCTTGACGAGTGCTTCATTCTACATGTCGTGAAGGCGAACATCATTTGACGACATGCAGACCAAGATAATATAAGAGGTGTGGCTAACTATATAAAACGACGAATGATCATTGAGAATCGCTGGAAAAAGTCACACTCAGAGGTTTTTACAGGTCAAGGCGCTTACACAAATTCTGGTCACGGATTGGCTGAAATTCGAATTGGATATCGGTGAGTGATGGTCTATTCCTTACTAATTGTCGAACGGCAAAAATAAATTTCCCATTCCCGTCGACAACAAACAATTAAATTGTACCAAGTTAACAAGGGCACGATAAACAATCGTGATTAAATTACAACCGAATCAGGGGAAATGCGCAAATAGAATTCCAAACCTTCCTATCTCATCCACCCAGAACGTGCCATTGCCCAACAACTGCACACATGTCGAGTCGCAAGAACAGTCGCCGCGCCAGCCGCAGCATCGACATCCCAATTCCAGCTGCAGCAGCTAATGCTGTTGTGCTCAACTCGCCAGACGAAGAGAGAGCCCAGGCCTTCGAGGAGTATGCCATTAGCGGAGGGTCATACTCCGACGACCACGAATACTCGCACCTCGACTCGGACCATGTCATGTTTGTTCCCTCCGCGGGGACCCGAGACCTGGAGGAATCGCACAATCAAGCAAAGTATCGCCACGTGGCCGTGCATTCTGCCTTCTCCACGGCGTCGACGTCACCCTTTGTACGTACAACAATCATGGCCACACCGTGTGCTTATTTGTCTGCTCTTGATGTTCAGGCATCGTACAGCTCGTCGCCGTCGACCAGCAGTAGTTTCTACAAGAGTGCCGCGTACAGCGCATCTCCTCCGATGATGTCTATCTTCGGCAAACAGCCGTTCCCAGACTTCAAGGTGCAGGTGAGTCCTTTCGCGTCAGCCGTGGCGCCCTTGTCACCGTCGCTGTCGTTGGAGAATGCATCAACCACAACGTTCCCGTCTTCCCCGACGCTTGCATCATCATCGGCAGACCCGTTCCATCAAGAACTGCCCGTGCCGGCGCTCGAAACCACCGAGTTCTACCACAAGGTCAACCCATCGTTCCCGACCAAGTCGACCCCCATGGAATGTCTCGAGTTCTTCGCCAAGACTCTGTCCACGTTGGGGTTCCAGTACTCGATCAAGGAACACTGGACGATCGCGGTCACGGGGCTGTTGTGCGTAGAAGAAGTGCAGTTTTCGATTCAACTCAAGCAAGATGTGGACAACCTCATCGTCGACTTTACCCTCGAGCAAGGCTGCGAGCGCAACTTTCTGCGCCTGTTTGACATCGTCCGGCACCTCGCGCGGTCGCTGGACGCCCAGCCCTTGTATGTCCAGCTGACCCCATGTACGACAACTCATGATGTGTATTCGTAGACCGACGACTTCATTTGTGCCGTCTATGGAGTGGCTGGATGTGGATTCGATGCCAGAGCTGTTTCCAGGCTCGTCGCATGTATCTGCGACAACGTTGTTGGAGTACTGCGAAGAGTATCTGCAGTTGGCCGACGACGCGACGACCACCAGCAGCACGCGGGGGGACGCGTCGCGCTTGGAGATGGCGGCATGCATCAAGAACGCGTGCCTGAGCGACAAGAACCGGGCGCTGGTGGTCGCGTCGGCGGACCTGGCGGGGGCGTTCGGGTCGGCACTGTATCGCATGGCGCAGGACGACCAGCTGTCGATTGTGCGGTTCGCCGTGTTTATTTTGAGCCTCTTCGACGTATCGACCCTTGTGGCGCTGGCCGCGCATCTCCAAGTGGACGGCGGCATGCTCTCGGTGCTCGATAAGATGGAAACCCATGATCCGATCCCGAAAATGAAATCCATCGCCGCGTCTGTCCGGACGAAACTCGTGCCGTCGAATTAACTTAAGTTACAAGTACTACAGTACCGAATTCTTCCATACAAAGTGTACCTGGTATGTACCCCCGAACATGTATGTCGTAGTACATATGTAAGGAAACTATGTACATAGGTACATATCAATAGTACAGCTGCGTCCACACACGACTCTAATATGTGAATAAGGTTGGTCGAGATATGTATTTCCATGAACTGCTGGTTCAATATGTAGCGACACAAGTCGCACGTACGAACTACTACGTAGTACTAGTAGTATTACTAGGATTACTCCGGAAGAATTGGACGAGGCGTAGATATGTACTACTGTACTACTGTACTAGGGTGTACCGTAGTACGATACTAGGTACTACTATACTACTGTAGTCGTAGTGTATTCGAATGAGCATCCATGCACTGGCCGTTGGGTAAGAGATGCCGCTGGCCGGCCCACCACCGTGATCTTCCTCGTTATTGATTCTATTAATAGTACATGTACTACTAGTCCGTTAATACTACTACTATTAAGAGTACTACTGTACTGTACTGGTACTGTACCACCAGAGTGGAAGTACTACTAGTAGTACTACGTAGTAGGGACGCTGTCAACCGCTCACGTCTGACCATACGCGTTCGATTACACGACCTTGCATTTGATGCAATCCAACACAGTCGTCAAGGATAGAGGAGCAACACTGCTCATGACAATTTGATCAAGTTCCTAAAGGCTCTAATATATATATCGCAATCTCGTGTGGGACAAGTCTATCGACGGTACCTGGTAATACGTTTCACAGGAATACGTACATATATGTAATTGAATAAATTAACTTGGACGTTGCTTGGCACTCGTCGCTGTCTACCGGTTATACTTGTCGAATGAGTACACGTGCACTCGTTTGCGGCCGCCGGCGGCCAAATATTCGCGCTCGACTTGGGCGACAAAGTCACGGGGGCCCCCCACGTATAGTTCAAACTGGGCCAGCGTGGGGGCGATTTCCAGCAGTTTGGCTTGGTTAACTTCTGGGGCAAAGTGGATTGCGCAGTCGGCGAGCCCCGGCGGACGTTGAAACGCCTCGACGTCTTCGATGGTGTCGGCGCATTGGAGTGCGACCACTTGACCGTTGTACTGGTCGCGGACGCTGCACAGCCCTTGCATCATGGCGACAAACGGCGCGCATGCGACACCGTGGCTGATGAGGAGGACGTTGGCCGGCAACGTGTCGGGGGTGTCGATTTCAAAGTTGACGTGGGATTCGACCCAGAAGAGGCGCAGTTTGGACCCGATCGCTTGACGGCACAGCCAGTCGGACGTGGCCAGGTCCACGACAATGTCAAGCGTGTTGGTCGGGTTCGCATGGAACGATGCGATGGGGAAGCAGCGCTTGGTGTCACCTGCGCCGAGGAGGATGCCGTCCCCAGGTTGAAACCGCAGCGGAAAGTCGTAGTTGAGGGTCAGGCGCCGCGCGTTGGGGGCGACGACTTCGATGGCCGACACGGCGCACGCAAGCGACTCTTGCGCCGGCTCGGGCGCACGCTTGGCGATCACAGGCAGTAGCAGGTAGTAGAGGAAGCAGTACGCAGTCAAGTACGCTTCCTTGACGTCCTTGGACCACACGTTGCCGCTGATCACTTCGAGCGTCCGAATCAACGTGACGCCCATGGTCGTGTAGTCATCTTTCCGGACGCCAAACTTGAGGTGGCCCGTGGCCAGCGCCTGCATCTGCTCGACGATCCGACTCGTAGTCATGACGTTCGTCATGACCTTGATGATCGACGCCAGCGATTTGCCCTGCAGCGTCAAACTCGATCGAAAGATGCACCGAAGCGACGGCATGACTGCAAACAAGAGCGAGTAAAACGTGCGGTGAAAAAACTTGTCGGGCGATCCATGCTTGGTCGCGTCGAACGCGTTCGTGCCTCGGCAAATGGCGGACCAGTTCTGCTTGATCAGCGCCACGTGACGAGGGGTAAGCACGGGCATCTTGATCTCGAACGGCATGTGCTTGGCGTACTCTTGCGCGAACGCGTACGTGATGCCGATGGCGCCGTCCGGCGTGACGAAGATGGTTTTGGCGTGCTTGGTCGAGAGGTTGCCGCCCATGGTGGTCGTCGGTGGGTCGGTCGGTCGGGTGTGTGTGTGCGTAGTGGGCCGATTTCAAAAGTGACGTCGCAGATCAATGACCATAATGGTGTAACCTGCGTTGATTGGTTTGCCTTGGTGCAGCTGGGTATTCCGGCGACAGAAAAATGAGCCGCTCCGCGATGACACTACCACATGGTCACCGTTAGTTCGCTGTGTGTGCCCTGGTGTCAATCATTCTTCTGAACGTTATGACGCTCTTGATTGGACACAAAGTATTGTGACTGGGTTACACCGTGCACATCGCGACCAGGTCGAGAGAGTTGTAAAAAATCGGCAGACGAGGTCGCTGGACGATGTGTCATGGAGTTTGGCAGGCGGCGGCGACGGTGTACTACGTCAGCCACGCAGTGTGCAGACGCTGCACCGAGCTACAGCGTACCGATAGGTTGTCGTCGTCTGCGTAGAACGAACTGCCTACGTACCGGAATGTACTGTAACTACTATTAATATATTAGCACGTTACAGTCCAGTCATCGTTCGAAAGGTAAACTCACATGCTGTACTGTAGCACAGTCCAGATCAAAAGTGCAGTGGTGTGTTCGTGAATGCGAGCAGGGAGTCATGGTGTGAATGTCGCGGAGGTTCGATGGATGTCGAACTGCAAAACGTTGACTCCAATTTTGTTCAATTTTGTTCGTTTGTCGTGAAAAGCGTACCTACGGTACTTACAGTCCTTCCCAACAAGTCAGGTTTGTCGCAGGCAGTGCTTGGTTGTCAGTGTACCAAGCATGTTCCCTGACACACAGAATTTGCGCGGTACAGTACTGTATTATTGGCATGCGAATTACCAAGTGTGCACTGCAAATACAATACTCGAGTACTGTACTATTATTAGTACGTACAGTAAATACAGTGGTGGCGGGTAAAAGCCGACGAAAGTTGCACTGTTGCACTCCGAGTACTACGTAGTATTTAATATAAATATATGTGAAAAGTACCCAAGTAGTAATCCACATTTGATTGGACATAAATTGCGATATTCTTCTCTGCAGCATCCAGAACATTGTTGACAAACCTGGTCCCAAGTGTGGATCCTGAGAAGGATCAAATGTCGTCAAGATACCTGATGTCGAAGAAGTACATAAGCGCAAAATGACCAAGAGGAGGTTAGCCATATATAGTACGTGGAGAAAATCAACAATAATGATGTGTATCATTCATTTGTGAACCTGTTGAACGTTGAAGATGGTGTAATTATCTATGTTTGTCGACAACGAGGATTAAGACTTGTGGTTAAGTATACAGTACACGATTGTTTTCGAGCCAAAAGTTGATGAACTTCGTTAATACTAGTATTACGGTAGAACTTCATACATGTACGTCGTAGTCGTACTTCGAAGTAGTAATTTAAGTGTAACAAAGTATCCCCAGCTTTTGCATCTCGTATAAATTAATATCCTGGGCAAGTTCTATAAATATTCATTGTTAACAGGAGATTGAAGAATTGATACAATTTGAAATTCAAAGCCTTTATTTATTGTGCTTTTCACATATTTTGCCCGTTGTTTTAGCTCCTAAAACCATCCAAAGTTTAACCTAAACTGAAGCTGCACTCGACGTAAAAGTAAGCTTCCCCACCGTTCTGTCATTGGCTGATCTAAAACTTGCGTTGTTTTACTAAAACTACTTCGTTTTATTAACTCCCGTGGCCAAGCAGTCATGCAGAGTAATGACCTA